GCTCTGTGCAAACAGGAAATCTACGGCTACATAAGTTTGTATCCAACGATGAGAGTGTGATTGCAACAATTCCACCACAAGAATGTGTTCAGACCAAAGATCTAAACATGGCTCTAGAGAACTTAATCGAGCGAGCACTGGAGTTCAGTGGTGTGTTGAGGCGGATAATTTCAGTTCAGGGTGGTGGTAAAAGAAACCCACTGCAAGGAGAGGCGTTCTCTCAACTGTTGCCTCAGTCTATGATCCACTAGGTTTCGTGGCTCCATTCCTACTTATCGGCAAACAGATTCTTCAAACACTGTGTAGAGACAAGGTAAGCTGGGACGAACCTCTCCCGAGCACATCCAGCCACAATGGGAGTCATGGCTCAAAGATCTGCCTCATTTGCCAGTTCTAAAGATTCCAAGAAGCTACCTTCCATCAAACTTTGGTGAAGTCTCACTATATGAGCTTCACAACTTTTCTGATGCAAGCTTCAAAGGGTATGGTGCATGCTCATACCTTAGAGCGGTGAGTGAACAGGACAGATAAGTTGTTCACTTGTCTTGGGGAAAGCAAGAGTAGCCCCTACCAAACTAACAACCATCCCAAGGCTTGAGTTATCTTCAGCTGTGACCTCAGTCCGCATTGGTGATATCATTAGAGGCGAGTTGGAGATTGAAAATGTGCAAGAGTATTACTGGACTGACTCAAAGGTGGTCCTTGGCTATGTGAACAATGATGCTAAAAGGTTCCAAACATTCGTGGCCAACCGCATCCAGCGAATAAGATCTAGCACAAAACCTGAACAATGGCGACATGTCAACTCTGAAAACAACCCAGCTGATGGAGCCTCAAGAGGATTGACTGCAGTTCAAATGAAAGAATCTAGCTGGCTGAAAGGACCCAACTTCCTTTGGCAGCAAAATCTCCCACATGAAGTGGGAATGGTGGGAGAAGTTGAGGCTACTGATCCTGAACTTCGGAGAGCACATGTTCATGCAGTTAAAGCAAGAGAACAGAATCCAATGGTAAACCGTTTAACTAAATTTTCTGACTGGTCCAGAGTGGTGAGAGCCATTGCCAGGCTCAAGAGATTTGTCAGAGAGTTTAAGGGATTTCAGTCGAGAACTAATGAGTCGACTAATCTTGAAGAACGAAGAGAAGCAGAGATCTTCATCATCAAACTCGTACAAGAAGACGCTTTCGCTGAAGACATAAAGAAAATAAGAGGCAAGAAGGAACACACTTTGAGCAGGCACAACAGGCTACGCCAGCTGAATGCTTTCCTGGACGAACCAATGTTCTTAGGGTGGGAGGACGGCTGTCTCATCAGGCCTTACACCATGATGTAAAGCATCCTGCGATTCTTCCGAAAAAATCTCATGTGTCAGCTCTGCTGGTCAAACATCATCATGAGCTTATACACCATCAAGGAAGGGGCATGACCATGAACGAGTTGCGCGCAAGCGGAATATGGGTCCTAGGATGTGGAAGTGTGGTCTCCTCACACATTTACAAGTGTGTAAAATGTAGACGATACAGAAGAACAACTGAGGTTCAACAAATGGCAAATCTACCAGGAGAGAGAATTGAGACATCTCCCCCCTTTACTTATTGTGGGCTTGATTGTTTTGGCCCCTTTATTGTGAAGGAAGGAAGGAGAGAGTTGAAACGATACGGATTGTTATTCACCTGCCTATGTTCTAGAGCAGTTCACATAGAAACCCTTGACGATTTGACAACAGACGCATTCATGAATGCACTTCGATCATTCATAGCTATTCGAGGACCCGTGCGCCAGCTAAGATGTGATAGAGGCACAAACTTTGTTGGTGCTAGAAAGGAGCTTTCTGAATTGCTTGAAGGAATGGATCAAGACCGTACAAGGGCGCTTGGTTGTGAATTTGTGCTGAATGTCCCATCAGCTAGTCATATGGGAGGAGTTTGGGAACGCCAGATTCGAACAATCCGAAGCATCCTGATAGCTATGCTCGACAAGTCCACCAGCAGACTTGACACCACAACTCTAAGAACGTTTCTGTATGAAACAATGACCATAATCAACAGCAGGCCACTAAGTGTCGAGCATCTTCACGATCCTACTGGTCCGGAACCCCTCACTCCCAACCACATTCTAACCATGAAATCATCCGTAATTCTGCCACCCCCTGGACAATTCTGCAAAGAAGATCTCTATCTGCACAAAAGGTGGAGAAGAGTGCAGTTTTTGGCCAATGAATTTTGGCAACGATGGAAACGAGAATACCTGCTAAACCTCCAACAACGACAGAAATGGCAGAAGCTGTCACGAAACTTGCAACCAGATGACATTGTAATATTAAAGGATGACAGTGCACCAAGAAACCAGTGGAAGCTTGCAAGGGTTGTGGAAGCCCTGCCCAGCGCAGATGGCAAGGTGCGAAAGCTAAAGCTTCTGCTCAGTGACACTACTTTTGATAAGGGAAAACCAATCACTAAATCAGTTTTCCTTGAGAGGCCTGTTCACAAAGTAGTTACATTACTTGAGGCCACCTAAAACACACGTAAAGCTAAATGACCTACACTTAAATGTACACTCACACATCACTTCCTTATAATTTTCATTGAGGAAAATCTCTCATTTTAAGTCAATGAGTGATTTTGGTGGGAGTGTAAATACTGTTAAAATGTTAAGTTACATAATTTCATGAATATATATAGTTTGCGTTGAAATGTCTTTATTTGAAATGTACATGTGTAAGGTGAGAGCTAGTGTCTCGTGAGAATACCCTTAACGAGAGCACACGAGACTTTTCATGGACTGCGAGGGAGCAGATGTCTCTCATGAAGCGATTTAAGCTAAAAGTTTACTAAAAGAAAGGGCAATACAAGGACTTAAGGACCTCTTTTCAGGACAAGCAGCCAACGAGGTATTTGTCATTTGAGAAATGTTTTTTATTTGTGTTTGGACTTAATATGTGTACTGTAAAGTTGCTAATTGTTTGTACTGTTCGCTCGTGACCAGTTCTCACGGCGTATTGGCGTATTGGCGTAATGGCGTATCGGCGTACTGGTGATGGTGAAGCTGAGGAGAGAAGGCCCAAGTAATAAACGCCCGTTTCAAAGAACCGACCTGTGTCTGTGTTGTCGTGAAGAGAGCTACATGCAGTGTATGCAGATCAATAACAAGTAGCTCAGAGAAAAATCAAAGCATTTGCTTTGAGAGAACGGTCAGGTATTTCTTTGCTGCTGGTGGCACTAAAAAGTTGGAAATCACTTCACTCAGTGAAAACAGATTTACTAAAAAAAAGTGGCAGACATTTTAAAATTGATGTGTTTTTGATATGTGCATATGTCCTTCGACTGTATGTAAAATGACTGTAATATCATTACACATAGGTTCTTGCTGTAGTGTGAAAACAAGCGTATATAATAATGTGGCAGAGATTTTTAAATTGAGACATCTGTTTGTGGTACCCATATTACTCTTGTTCCTGTAAAGTGAAAACAGCTGCATCTCGCCTCTGTCAGTGCGCCCCAGGGTGGCTGTGGCTACAATGTAGCTTGCCATCACCAGTGTGTGAATGTGTGTGTGAATGGGTGGATGACTGGATATGTAAAGCGCTTTGGGGTCCTTAGGGACTAGTAAAGCGCTATATAAATACAGGCCATTTACCATCTAATAAAGTTGTTGGATATTGTAAAATTAATGTGTTGTTAACCATACTGTATATTATTGTATGTTATTGCAAAGTTAGACACTTAGAAAGACAAAAATAAACACTCATAATAACTAGAATAATAAATCTGACAAATAATAATAATATCCAACCATAAAATAATAATAATAATAATTCTTGGATGCTATTGCATTGGCACACTAAATAATAATAATCAGAATAATAAATCAGACAAATAATATACAGTATTTCTTGATGCATGCTCAATCATCCAGATAAGGAGATTCCAAAAAATTAGGAAGGCTTGGTAAGGTTTATGCTGCACATCAACTTTTAAATGTCCGCCATTACTGATGAAAATCTCAAAATCTTAGAAGAACTGCAGCCACTTCCCACTCTCTCTGAATGGTACTCATAACCATTGATCAATGGTCATTCCTCAGTGATCAATAGCAGTTGACCAATGGCCTTTGATAGGTGGTTGCTGATCAATGGTCATGACAATTTGCATATTAATGATCAAGAAACTGACCTGTCAGCCCATTGTTCGCCAGTGGTGCTAGTTTCATTCATCATGCAAATGTATGTTCATAAGGGTGGGGAAACCTGCAGTCAGCTGAGACTGAAGAAGTCACTTGGATGAATGACGAAACATTTCTCCCACTGAAAGTGCTACGTCCAGATGAACTGAATCAACTTTCGGAAATGCCTCAATACTGAGACTCTCCAACAATTGCACTTAGAACTGAATAAGCTTCTAGGATGAGAGGTGAAACGTCTTCAAGAATTACTTAGAGAAGTCCAGAACCTTTTTTCCCAAGCTCCTTAGACAATGCCTCAGTACTATTGTACTGGCACACTCAATAATAATAAAGATTGGGATGTCAATACTGTGAATGCTTTGGGACACTCAAATAAGCAGATACAAAATGGTTTTTACATTGCATGCTCAGGCACCAATCGTAGACAGAACTGACACAACAGGGTCCTATTTTTAAAAACCAAAAACCAATCTGTTTGAAGCAGATACTGTCTCAACTACTGTTGATAGGTGCATACTGGTATCCAGGAAACATCACACACTAACACCATACACAGGATGTGTGGTTAGTGGCTAATCTAGAAATAATTCATCCAACTTGCCAGCACACATTCTGACAGATACAATATATCTTTACAGAATAGCTCTGTCCTGACTAATTTGAAACCTCCACATTTCATTTTTGGCAAAGGAAATTTTAAATGCAAGGTTTGCTTGACAGCAATTTAAAATGAACCAAAGTCTCTAACAACAAATGCACTCTTATCTATTATTTTGTCAGTTTACTAAATTGAGAAATAAGTAAAGCCAAGTCCTACCTGCGGGCGACATAGTAGAACACTGGATTTCCAATCTTTGAGGTTCCTGCCTGGTAGAAAATGTTGAGGGTCTTTAAGGCTTTGAATTCCTCCTTCTCATGTACTTGATGCCTGTAGAACAAAAAGAAGCGCTGAAGATAGTAAATTAAGCAAATAAAGTTACAACCCAACTGGTAAAATAACAAACCAGTTTTATTTGTTGTTTCTCTATTGTCCCCTTGGCCCTTACTCAGAGGTTTATCAGACTTGTTATCTGACTTAGTGCTCAGTTCAAATAAAATAATTGTTGTGGATGATTTTGACAGCCTCAACACAGCATTTAATCTATTATTAGACTCAATTAGCTTCTCTCAAAATGTAAAAGAACCCACAACAACGTTAACCACACTCTCCATCTAGTTCTGAGATATGGCATGGAAACCGAACATTTAAAAGTATTCATTGAAAACCCTTCGATCATTTCCTAACAACAATAAAATTTACAATAATGGATCACACAGCAGTTGGGAATACTTTTAAATACAGCCGATAGCGCTGTAACTAAACTTAAGGGTATAATTCCTCCACTGTTATCTTCTTTAATGCCATTTGCTAACACAGTACAGAGCAGCTACCTTAACTCGGGTTTTATCCTGGATTCCAGCATGCTGTCTGCCTTAGTTTATGAACACCTTTATCCATGCTATCTGATGGGTCAAGATACCTCATCCTCCTGTTTTGATATTTTGTGCCTGAATCCTTATTTGGCATCCGCAGCATTGCCCTCCTTGGTGCATGCAGGAGTCGGGAATAAGAATCTGTTTTATTGTGCAGGTGGACGTCAACCTAACCCAAATGGCTTGTTTTTAAAGAAGTTTAGTGATTTATTATTCTCCACTATTAAGCCGTTTAGGATTGCTTACAGATGGAAATATTAACATTCACATAGATGATTAGCTCCTGTTTCCAAGTTGTCACCTTGGATAAATTAGATAAACACCATACGCCTCTTAAAGTGTTCTTGTGGAAAAGGTGAGCACTAGTGAAGGGAAATTCAGTTTGTATTCATCCCCTTCAGCAAAAGGATCTTTTCATCTTTTCTTTCAACAGTTCAGTTAGAGATGCACGGGCTGACTGTTTCTCACACTTGGTTACAAATAGAACAGGTAATCCTATGGCGTTATTTGACACCATTAATAATATTGTTACTTCTGCTCCACCTGCTGTCCCACTCTCCTCAGTATATACAGTCCTGATTAAAAGTTTAAGACCACTTGAAAAAAAATCATATTTTGCATGGTTGGATCTTAACAAGGTTCCAAGTAGAGCTTCAATATGCAACAAGAAGAAATGGGAGTGAGACAAAACATTTTTTGGAGCATGCAATTTATCGAAAACAATGCTTAAATTGAAACAGGCTGTTTTATAACTGATTAAAAATTTAGGACCACATGCCTTTAAGAGGCAAACTCTATGCAAAAATGTGAATTCATTGTCATCTTCTGTCAGGTAGTCACGATGGCAAAGGCAAAAAAACATTCCCTTTTGGACCGTGGTCGGGTTTTTGAACTGCATAAGCAGGGTCTCTCGCAGCGTGCCATTGCTGCTGAGGCGGGACGCAGTCAGACAGTCATTTGGAATTTCTTAAATGATCCTGATGGTTATAGGAACAAAAAGGTCAAGTGGAAGACCCAAGAAACCCTTACCAGCACTGAGCTGGAGGATCCAATTGGCTGTTTGTCAAGACACTGGACAATCCTCGACCCAAATTAAGGCCATTACTGGTGCCGACTGCAGCCTCATAATCATCAGACGGCATCTTAGACCGAATGGCTTCAAAAACATTAAAGATCTTAAATGGTCTTGTCTCATTAAATGCCAGAGACTGAAAGAGAGCACTAAACACGGAAAGGTGAAAGAAAGTTTTATCCTCTGATGTGAAAAAATTTAACCTTGATGGTCCTGGTGGTTTCCAACGTTACTGGCATGACAAGCAGATCCCACCTGAGATGTTTTCTGTGCACCACAGTGGAGGAGGCGCCATAATGGCCTGGGGTGCTTTTTCCTTCAGTGGAACAATGGAGCTTCAGGAGGTGCAGGGGGGGCGAATGGCCACTGGCTATGTCCAGATGTTGCAGAGAGCATCCCTCATGACTGAGGGCCCTCGTCTGTGTGGTAACAACTGGGATTTTCAACATGACAACGCTACAGTACACAATGCCTGCAGGACAAGGAACTTCTTGCAGGAGAATACCATCACTCTTTTGGACCATCCTGCGTGTTCCCCTGATCTAAATCCAATTGAGAACCTTTGGGGATGGATGGCAAGGGAAGTTTACAAAAATGGACAACAGTTCCAGACAGTAGACACCCTTCGTGTTCGCCGCTTGGAGAAATGTTCCTTTTTGATCGGCTGTAAAAAAGCCCGTTTCAGTTTAAGCATTGTTTTCAATAACTTGCATGTTCAAAAAAACGTTTTCTCACTCTCATTTCTTCTTGTTGGATGTTGGAGCTCTTCTTGGTTCCAACCATGCAAAATATGACTTTCTGGCATTTTTCAAGTGGTTTGAAACATTTGATTGGGACTGTGTATGTTCTGCTCGGCCTTAGTGGATCATTGCACTGTTGACTGTAGTATTTAATTACAGTGATTAGAGCATGCTATAGGAATGAAAGATACTGTGTTGCAGTGATTTGAATCATAACTATTTAATAGACTTCACCTTGTTCATTTAAATAGGGACCCCTCTTTAGGGCTGTTCGATATAACGATATATATCGGATGACGATATAAAAAATCTATCGTTTCATTTTATGCTATCGTTTGTTTCGTGGTGTCGCAAAATAAACTGTTTACGGCAATATTTTTTCATCGTTTTGATGGTCACTGTAGTGGCTATATTCATTTCTCTTTCTCTTATATTTAATATAGCCACACTACGGACGGACAAGCGCCTGTTTTTATGCGCTGTCGTTAGCAACAACGACGGTAAAACCATCGCGTGTCAGCTTGTTTATTTTCCACATAAACCTTTCACAATAAAGCTCAAGATCCTGTTGAGACTTTTCAAAATAAACTGAATCACACGAAAGAGTATGCAGAGTATTTACGGATGAGAAGCAAAGAAGAGCCGTCAGGTGCTAAAAAATAGACCTTAGACTCAAACGTTAGAACAGGCTTTTCCCTGCAGCACGCCGTGTAATAAATACAACAAAAACGGCGGCCGTTACAACATGTGTCTAAACATGCATAATTTCATGCATCGGTTAAAATACTTGACTCCAGGTACACGACACCCAGCTGGAAACACTTCCCGCAAGTCGAGCTGCCCGAGATTCACAGAATTTACAGAAAATGTTAAATTTTTGTGATTTATATCGTTATCGGGACGATAGAGGTCTTATATCGGGACGATGAGATTTTGGTCATATCGCACAGCCCTACCCCTCTTCACACACTAAGGTTAATTATTAAGGTCCACAGGGTTCAGTGCTAGGACCAGTTCTGTTTACATTTACATGCTTCCCTTTCAACATCAATAGAAAGCATAGCATACCTTCTACCTACCTGCCCATGAAGCCAGACAGCACAGACTGATTGTCTTAAAGGCCTGGATAACCTCTAATTAATATTTTTTGTCTCTTTTTACATTTATGAAGAATATCCTTTGCTCTTAGACTGCCAGCTTACTTGAAGTTATAAGGGTATTAAAAGCAGAAAGGGGGGGGGAAGAGCCTTCACCTTTCAGGACCCTCTTCTGTGGATCTAGCTCTCAGTTTGGATTTGGGAGACAGACACCCCCTCTACGTTTTAGATTTGGTTCAAAACTTTCTTTTTTGACAGCAAATAGACAGGGCTTAATCAGGTCGCCCTGAATCCTCCTTTACTTGCGTTGCAAAAGGCCTAGGCTGCTAGGGCTTCCCATGATGCACTGAGATAAAAGTTGAAATTGAATACAATGAAAGCTTCCTATAAAGTGTTAATGCATCTAAAACTAAAGATGGACAGACTTACAACCCATAAATGGGAAAAAAGTGCTTATTGAGTCAGAACCATTATGTTGACAAGCTGTTATCAATCTTACCTGGTCATAAACTCCTCAAACTTGGAGCTGGTCAGATTGAGACTAGACCAGTGAGTGTCAGCCACAGGTTTGTGTTCCGGCGGTCCTAGGTAAGCCAGCAAGGTGGCCATCTTGTCAAAAGGTCGCCTACCTACAGCCTTGTGGTCCCTAAAATAAAATTGTGACTCATGATTTAATGATCAAAAATAAAAATGTAATGATTAAAAATAAAAATAAAAAATCTAATTTAATGAAATACAAAATTCTGACCTGTTACTGGATAAGTACTGGCCAATTCTTTCCTGATTATTCCACAGCAGCCGGTGGAGAGCCAGCACATTACCGTCACTGATAAATGACAGACTGTGGTTGACAGAATCACTGGGTGGAGAGTCAGATGCTATGTCCAAGAAAAACCTGGGGCAGAGAGAGAAGATTGCCAGCTCAACTTAAGGTCAGAAGAAACATGACAGCAAGCACTTCACTGATTTAGTTTGCAAAGTTTTTGGTTTGTCTGAACTGTCACATGACCACATAGCTCAGGTTTCCCTGACTACACAAACTCTGTTGATATAAAATGTTTGATTCGTTTGTTATTTTTTTGTTAGTGACTGGTCAAACAACTGATGAACAGTCAGCATGAACAGTCAGCATGGTGGTACTAGTGAGAAGAGAGGGGATCATTAATTGCCACGATGAGTCTGTGATTCATGTCAGGCAGCAGGTGTCAAAAAATTACGACAAGGAAAAGAAAAAAATCTAAAGACTGAAAAAGTTGCTAATTGCCAGAAAGAAATAACATCTGGTGTATCTTTATATAAAAAGCATACCAGAGGTTCTGGGTCTAACAAAAGTATTATATGAGGAGGGTTTCAGCATGTGAGTTCACATACACTGGAGTAAATAATTATTTGATCCCCTGCTGAATTTGTAAGCTTGCTCACTTACAAAGAAATCAACCATCTGAAAATTTTATGGCAGTTTCACTTATCGGAGGGAGACAGACTATAAGCCAAAAATCCAGAAAAAAACGCATTACATAAAAATAAATGATGCATGTCTATAACCCAGCCAGAAATCTGTCTCTCACCGATTGGCTGCATGTTCATGTGGCACACAGATTACCATCTCATCAAATCAGTTACAGATATGCCAACTTGTTGTGTAAATAAAACATGCCTGTCCACAGAATGATTTTTCTCCATTCCTACCTATTCACTACCATGGGCAAGACCCCACCACTGCCCGCCTATTTTCAGGTCTCAGAGCCCTCTCGCACTATGAAAACTAACCAGAAGGTATTTGGGACAGATTATATATTATATTGGCTAATTAAAATATATTTAAGAAACAAAACAAAACAAGCAGTCCTATAACGTCCAATATTTGAGCACAGACTGACAAAAAATACAAACAAACATATCAGTAAATATACTTTTTAACTGGATATAGTTAAGTTAGAATTTCACAGCAATCCATTATATAGGGGGCAGGGATATCTCTAGGGATAGGGATACAAACAGTATTTACAGTAACAGTAGTTCCCTGCATTTACCTTCGGGCTGAATCAAAGTTGCTCTTCACAAAGTCATTAAAAGGCCTCATGTGTTCTTCTTTTGTAAATAAGACGTGGTTTGCAATACTCTGCAAAATCTGAAATAAAAAATACAAGAGATTCACAATAAGCTCATGTTATGTGAGTTGTGTGATCTTGCTCGAGTTCAAAGAGAATGGTTACCCTCAGGTTTAATCCTGATATCAAATACAGGTTACTGGGATCTGAACAGACACTTATATCAGGTACACTATGCCAAAAGATTTCTCTTTAATGCAGTACAGTGTTTCACTATCTTTGTGCTCAGTCTCACAATAAAAACTTACCTCCTGCTAAAATTATTAATGTCACTCTATACCCAGACTGTAGGAGCTTCTTTTTAAACCAGACGCGATCACAAGGTTTAAGATAGTCAGTGACATTTTAAACTTTATTAGTCATGTGTCTATGATGCCTACTCATTGATGGCATTTTTGCCAAACAAAATTAGGTTAAGGACACTTTATTTGTACCTGTGGATACAAATAAAGGGGGTAAAAATACATTTCTTTAGATCTCTTCTTGTACGTCACTTATCCTCATGTGGATTTTCAAAAAACAAACAAACAAAAAACCCAGAAAAAAAATAAATAAATCACAGAATAAGTAAAAAGTTTGGCTATTGGAGCCAAACTGTTTTAAAGGTTTGTTCTTCTGCTCCATTGAACTAGAAGACTTCATTCAGAAGGAAGAAACTGAAAGTTGATATGCACAGGATGCAAAGTGTCAAACAAAATTGAACCAGCCAATGGGTATAATTCTCTGGCATACAGAGATGCTGGGTTCAGCTGTCGCTAGGGATGGGAATTGTGAACCGGTTCTTGTAGAATCGAATATCTTTAATATGCTGCTTAGGGATGGTGTTGACTCTCAAACAACCCAGTGGGAAAATAATGAGAATTGAAATTGAAAGGAATCGAATTAGGCAGCAGCCTCTTTGCTTAGGCTGCTGCCCCCGTGACCCGGCCCCGGATAAAGCGGATGAAGATGGATGGATGGATGGAGGAATCGAATTAAGAAGTGATATTGATAATGGAATCTGAATCGCTAAATTCTTATTAATTCCCATCCCTAGACTTAGGGATGTAACCATTTTTTTCTGGTTACTTTCATGGCAGCCCTCATATCCAATAAGCTTACCTTGGACATGAGTTTGAGCCCCCGTTCTATCCTGGGCAGAGGCTTCTTGTCTAAAATACCAGTCTCATAGGGGGACACAATAGCAGGGTTGATGAAGCGCAGAAACATAGCACTGCCCACCGCACCAATGCTGTTCTGTGGGAACCGCTGACTCACAACCTGTGTGAGGGAGTATGGAGAGAGTGGAGGGAAAAAAAATGTTGGCGAACACAAACGGAAAATACAGAACAGAAGGGAAAAGTATAAGAAGAGGGACCAGTTTGAAAAAAAGGGAAGGAGACAATATTAAAAGTTGATTTTGGTACATTCAAGAGCAAATGAGGGAATGATAATAATAACAAAATATACATGTATCAATATGTGTAACAGAGATATTTGAGCTGAGTCATGATCAGGCCAAAAAATGCTGCGCTCAGGAGGAGAGCCTAGCTAGGAAGAAATATGACAAAAGACTTGGACATGATCCGAGTTTATTCTGGTTGTACCAGGAGTGAAAAAGGTTTTTACTCCAGTTACAGCAGAAGAAACATGCAAGAGAGGAAAAACATGACAATCAACCCAGCTGTCTCCTCTCTGTTGGTGAAAGATGAAAACAGGAAATGATTACACAAACTGACAGAAGACAGATGACAGATGTTAAGCCATGAATTGTGATTAAAGTATAAGATGGTGGTGCCTCTTTTAATTCAATTACTAGAAGAAGAAATGAAAAAATACAAACTTCCTACAAATATATATACACAGCTACAACATCAGGCTATAACCCCATATCATCAACACAAACGTCAAAATCATCAGTAAGGCTTTACAATTATGGACAGAGACAGCTATTCCATCTTGTGGATCAAACTAAGTTACTAAAAGAATGTCGGTAACCTATAACTTTATTATGTTATTTATTTTACATCTCATTCCAACCACCCATCAGCAGTTGTTTTATTACATGCAGAAAATGCATATGATAAATGCGCGTTGGGTGACCTGTTCATTGGTAGATAGATGACACTGATGACAACACATGAAAACTCGCTAACCTGCTATGAGCAACAGAGGGCAAGGATTAGTGAGTGTCAGAGCCACAATCCGGGAGGAAACACAGACCACACATTAACACATTTCACACTTAGATGCACTGGTCCAGGAATGCCTCAGGTAGATTAAGACAGGTGGTGAAGAGGAACAGCACAGGAACTATTATTAAAGACCAAGCCGCTGCACAAGATGTACCATCGAGAGATAGCGAGGCTGTTGACATTAAGAAATCCTACCACTGACTACAAGAGTCCAGCCTAAAGGATACCAGAAGCTCTTATCCCACCAGCACAAGAACAAAGCCTAAGCACTAGACCTCTAAAGGCAACAGTCTACCACAGCTGAAAGTTGTAAGCTACGCAAAAGTACCCTGCAGATGGAATACAAGTTGGAACAGCATTTACTTAGAGGCACAACCAGGTTGCTGGAACAGTTTCCAATAACATCTATGTACATCAGGAGTTGGGAATCGGTGGGAAAGATATCGTCAATTTTTTATGTTCTTGGACCTGATTGGTGACCAGTTGGTCAGACGTGTATGACATGTATGTTGCGTGTTTAATGCATGTGCAACACATTCACACTGGCACAGAAAAATAGTCAGATGCACACTCACAGCCACACACTAACATGACAATTGCATGTAAGCTTTTCACTATGAGTTAAGGTATAGTTAACCAAAGTAAACATTGAAGGAACCACCAAAAAAAGGTTGTAACAACAAAGGTACACAGACAAAACTAAAGCTGTCCAGAGCTTAGAGCTAGCCACTAGCCAGCTGCCTCAGTAAGAGTAGTCACCTGATTCAGTTCCTGGGTAAGGTGTTCTGACTGGGCATGTCCTAATGGTTTGAGGCCCGGGCAGAGACCAAGGACATGCTGGAGATCTCTCTATGTCCCTTATATCTACCTACCTACCTACCTGGTAGAGGACCCGAGCTTGAAGGATACACTTCCCGCGGACAATACATTCTGCAACCATTACCGAGAGCAACCAGCTGATCTACACTACAGTGGCAGTGATCAGTGAGATGAACAGCCACAAGAAGCAGTACCCTCCATTGAGAGAAGGAGACTAGAGGCCAAGATCAAGGTAGTAGGGAGGAAGGTTAGCCGACTATTGGAGCTGCAGAAAGGTGCAATGAAGAAGATGCCTAAGAAGTAAACCTACATGTTGAAATACAGCAGGTTGAGCTGATACCAAAGAGTTTAATTTTGGCTTCATCTCCTCTTTCTCCCTAGCCTTCTATCAATCATTTCACAAAGCAAGATTTATAGTAGACCTGGACATGCTTCATCATAAACCAATGTTTCTAGGATGTTTGTGAACTACTTTTGTGTCTATGTTCTTAACATAATGGTGTTATCAGTGATGTTCTTGGTGATAATGGTCTTTTTATATTTTTTCATTTTCTAAATAATCACAACAACCAACTACACTGAACTGACTGTGGTATCAGATCAAAACTTTGAGGATCAAAAGTCAATGGACATTTCAGAACATTTTCAGTTTAAACAACCCTTAAAGAAAGTCTGTGTGTACCGCAAGTACTAGAATTGACCAAAAACTCTACAAATGGTCAAATTTGTGACTACAAATTACAATCAGTGTTTATAATTTGTGGACAAACAGTGTTAAATGAAATATAGAGCAGGAAATACGCAAAATGTCCTGAAAAGGACTATGCTATTATTGGCAAGTTAGGTTTCTTGGTAGTTCATAATAAAGTAACAATCACAATACAAAGATGACAGTTGATAAAAAGCATTTTTTATAGCAACTCAAGGGGCTTCATAACTAAAACATTAACAAAGCTGTATCTCCACACTGTTGTCCGTGTAAGTAAGGGTGAATTATTTATGACAGAACGGTATAGATAAAACCAAGAAGCTCTAAAATGTAAAAAGTTTTATGTTTGCCTGCTGTAATTCATGTATTTTACTTTGATATTTTGAATTTTAAAAGGTCACAGAAAGTTAGTGGCTGCTCTCCTAGATGCAAAGAGTAAATGATGCACAACTTCCTGTAGGTAAAGCCAGTCAGTGCCTGCAAAAGCAAAAATGTTCCACTTCAAAGTTTGGGGAAACTACTGACACTCGCCTTAGAGAAATGTTTCCCTAAGTCAGCCCAAGTTCCCCATGTCTGGCTGAAATGAAGCAAAATCGTCAAAAATCCTTTAAAAAAAAAAAAACTTTAAAAGTAATTAATACAAGAGTCTATAAGTATGTGAATGTCACTGTATTTGCTTAAAGATTAAATATAGACCTGAATGTAGTGGTAGAGCAAAAGTCTGATTATCAACAAAGTCATCAGGCATTTTGGGACCATGCTTTTTCACAGTTTAGAACATTTAGACCAAAAACCAAAAATGATATACCTTTTATATTATTGCACCAAAATGTCAGAACTGCTTTAAAGCAGGGTTGAGGTGGATCATAATCCGCAGTTCATGTCAGAACCCCAGAATTATGCTCTACTGATGCAACAACATCAGTAAACTATTTCAGAAGGAAGAGGAGATGGAGGAATTGTTGATAAACAAGTGGCAACAAAACTGCACATCAGCACCAACATTTGAATAAAAGAATCAAGGTTCTGGATGAGTTTCTAGTTAAAAACAAACGAACAAAGAAAAAACTGTGGGGACATACTGTCATAATGGTGGCATTTCACATCAGCTGTGAAATGCAACTCATTACAGCAAGAGGCCAATATATCAGAATATTTCATCTAAAAGTCTTAAAAGGCTATGTCCCCACCAGAGCAGGCGAGATGTGCTGCTGTGCATCTGTGACAGTTTACTAAAATAAGTGATGTAAGTTAAAAGATTACAATGATGGTGCAGATGAAATGTTCTGAGAAAAGGTCACCTAGAGTGCAAACAGAAAGCCCAGAAAGAAAAGAGAAGACAGAATGCTTCTATTTCCTGGAAACTGTTAATCAAAAATACATCAAGTGATGCCAGTATTAGTACAATGATTTCAAGAGAGGGTTGTACACAAAGCTGAATATGGAAAAACAAAACATTTCCAGTGAAAAACCAAATTAAAACGGAAAAAAAGAAACAAAACAAAAACAAACAAACAAAAAGAAATAAAATGCAAAAAAAAGCTTTTTTGCTTTAGGGGTAAAAGTATCTGAGGTAAAATAGATTCTCCAAACTTACTGCTTTTTTGCTTTCCTTTTTTTCTTTTACTGTTGCTTTATTCAGTAGAGAGTGGCAAGTAGCCTACAGAACAGAGATGAGCACAATATGGTCACAGCACCAGCTAAACAGACACACACAACAACACGCGCGCGCACACACACACACACACAGGTAGCATAGCCCTAACCATTTAAACATACATTTTTATCTAGGAAAGCACAAAGAAAAATAAAAAAATGCCGTTTCACTGCTCAGGGCACATAAAGCGTGTTAATGCATGCACTACCAGTCTTTTACTTTAGCAGACGGGTGTACACAAATGTGTGTATCTACACACTTGTGACACGATATCCAAGGTGGAGAACAGGAAATGAAATATATAAGCAGATACAATAAAAATCAAAGACTTTTTGTGTGTGTCTCCGAATCATTTTAAATCTTGAAAGCTGAGACAAAGTTGTTGTTTTTTTCACTTTTTGATTACGAGTGGAAAATACTATAGTGAGGGTATGTTGGCATATTCTGGATTTCTCCGTGGCTTCATGGGACATCCAGGTAGAAAAGACAGAACATCTGAACTCAAATATAACTGAAAATTGCAATTAGATAATATTATTTGGTACATGTCTTTGTGATAAAAAGCAGTCAGTTGTCATTCTCCCATGATGTGATCACACCTAATCCACTGCTTGATTTGGCCTTGAGAGATATTGTCCTCCATCTCTAATTGTCTGTAGCACCTTCGGTTATTCCGGTTTTCTCACACAATCCAAAGACATGCATGAGATTAGGTTTAATGGCAATTCAAAACTGGATATAGGTGTGAATGTGACCTGGTTGTCTCTAAGGATTAATCTGGATATAGATTGCGACCTGTCCAATGAATGCTCTTAACCTGTGACAAACTGCAGCCCCCATGCTACCCCAAAGTGGAAAAGCTGAAGAAAATGAATCAATGAATAAAGGGATGAATGGTAAATTTATATATTCCAATAGACAGTGAGCTTGTATTTTCATCACTATTTTCAAGCAATCAAAAATGGCTACATTCATAGAGGAGCGCTGGTGGTGGAAAAGTCAGACTTATTCCAGATGCTTGTGTGTTGATCGTCCCAGCGAAAGAGCACAATTGCCACTACATCTCCTGAAATGTTGTGTTATTGTCCTGTAATTTAGTGTTTTTTTCTGTTTTATATTGAGTGTGTGCTCTCTACTTTGGGCGATATTTGATTCTCTGTCTGCAAGTCTCCAACTGGTGGGCTCCACTCATGCACTTGCCTATCAACAAGTCAACTGCTGATTGGTCCGTATCTACAGCTTCATCTTCTTTTGGTTGCCCTTTTGAAGGGTTGATCATGTGCCTACACCTCACCCTGTCTGTAGCATCCTTTTCTGTCACACTAACCCTCTGCATGTCATCCTACACTACTATCCTTGAACCTCCTCTGAGGTTTTCCTCTTCTCCTGCACACCTGGCATCCTTTGTCCAAGATACCCACTAGCCCTCTGCAGGTTTTAAATCTCAACATGCTCTCTAACGTTCACTCATCCTGAGCTGTCCCTCTGATAGTCCTTTCTAATCTTGTCTACTCTGGTCACTCCCACTGAAACCATAACATCTACAACTCTGCCATCTTCACTTCGAACTCCTATTTTTGTTTAGTGCCACTGTCTCCAAACCATACATCATAGCAGGTCTCTACCATTCCACTCCCATCTTTCCCACCATGTGTGTGCACCGACCTCAACTCCTATATCTTGACCTATCCTCCCTCTTACTGAAATATCTGTTGACTACAGCCATCCTTTTTGTAAAATCCACCACCATCTGCCATTCTCCATTCCTTTAAACATACCCAATCTGTGTTTTGTTTCCCTATATGTCCACCGAAGTCTGTTTTAATCACCAATCTCTGCCCCTGGGGACATTCTGTATCACCTTAACCAACTTACTAACATGTCCTCCACCTCAAAACCTCTGATTGTTCTGTGAGCGTTTTTTCTGGAAAAACCCAGAAAAAGGGTGCAATTTAGACTTTTAATGTCCTACTCTCCACCCACACCAGACACACTCCCACGCAGTCCTCTTAGATACTAAATGCACATCACCGAAAGTAGATGACACATCAGTCTGCAGACTGGTTGTCAAGTGGGCCAAAATAGGAGAAGTATCTACAGCTACAGCGAAGTTAACTGGAAATGGGAGAACCAAAAAAAACTTACTTGTGTTGGTATAGTGACCAACAAAAGTAAAGCTTGCGTCACAACTGCTCTAACTTAATTGTTCCCATGAGCTTTAAAACAGCAGTTCCCAAACTTTTTTTGCTGGGTCCCCTTTGTTTTACAAGACCACCCCCTCCAACCACAAACACCCACATATTGTTTTCAAACTCCAACGCAATTAATTTCACACCTCAAACCTTTTGTAAACAATTAAATAAATAAAAGTAAACTGCAATAAATTACAGGTAGCAATAAAATAAACTACTATCCTTTTACGTTACGCCCCCACCTACAAAGGTATTTTTAGAAAACCGTTTTTTCTATGCGTTTGGGCCTGAAAAACTCCTGCCAGGGTGGAGATTTTCGAAAACTCCGTTTTTGCGTTTACGTGTGGACAAGGAATAGTCACGCAACATCAAAGGTGAGCGCCTTTCATGACGTCACGCTGTGCGCCATGTTATTGTTTACATGAGATGAATTTCTACAATGGCCGATATAGACAAAATACTATTGCTGTTAATCTTACTATCTGCAGTTTTTACACGCTTTTACACACACAGTTACTGTTCCTCCATTTACATCAGGCATCAGAGTGAACTTCAGATTCTTCCGGGGATACCTACCTTGGCACCACCATTGTGCAGGTGAAGCTAAAAGCAAGATATGCTTCATCATATTTTGTAGTCTTTGGTTTGGAAACATATTTGGCGTTGCTTCCTCTTCTGCTTTGTGTTTGTGTGGGAGCCTCGTCAAAAACCTGTCCATTATGCTAGCAGTGTCCAAGCCTTTCCTTTTGGGTCAGCTGGGTTAAACCACAAAAGGAAAAAAGACTGGTGGCAGCAATTGGTACCCCTCAGCCTCCTTGTAGATATATTTATGGTATAAATTTGAAAGTCCTCCATGTTTTGTTCTCAAGTTATCCCATTCACAACCTTGGGTGTCAACAATACCCCATTAGGTTTTTAAGGCTGAGCATTAAAAACTGACCTAGCATAAAATAAAAACTGATTAAAAGCAAAAAGTGAAAACCCATGGGTACAATTATGTCTAAGGATGTACACAACTAGTTGACTAATCATTGCTACTGTCACTAGTCTCTAATAGACTCCCTGTATTTCTGCTTATCCGAGGCTGGGTCATGTGGGCAGCGGCCTAAGAAAGGAGGGCCAGACTTTCCATTCACCAGCAACTGCCTTCAGCTTACCCGAGGGAATACAGAGTAGAGCAGGGCAATATGGCCAAAAATATTTATTACGATATATATTTGAAAATTTGCGATAACGGTACAACTGACGATCTAATTGACCCGAGACAAAATACTTTACCACTCCACAACTTTATTAGTGGAAAAAAGAACCCATCAACGTATTTTCACTTAAACAAGCAGCTGTTTTTTATGTGCATTAAAGTTATATAAAAATGTAACAGTGCAAATGCAAATTCCTCGCTGACAGTTTAACCAAAAGGCATTTCCAGTGGAAATTGGCCGACATATCCTCAGCATAACCATGTATAATATCCACAAAACTCAAAAAGAGCTTATACACACACAGTACGGTAATATTATGTTGAAGCACAGTACGTATCACTCCGCATGACTCCTGACTACGGTAGCCGTAATGCTCGGCTTTCGAGCGGTGCGGCTTTCGTACTTAAGCAAAGTTGCACTAAAACATTTTTTGTCAGATTTTTGAGCGCTGTGTACCAAATAAAATCAGCTCGGTAATAACGGTAATAATGATGGTGCGCTTGCTTGCTCTGCTAAAAAAAAATCTGCTTTGGTGTGTATCTGACGGACGAAAGCTAAACCAGTCCCACACCACTGAAGTCGCAGCATTTTGACAAACCAATTCCGGTTCATCTGTTTCATTCAACGATCCGCTTTCACCCTGACACGCCCTTCTCATTCTCCGTCACCGCCATGCTTTTTCTACCATGTGCGTATGAAAACAAAGGTACTGTGCATGCGCGTTTTACTCATATTTTATCGCGATATTTCATTTTCTTATCATTGCCTAACATTATACCAGTATTACCGTGAATGGTATGATATGGCCCAGCCCTAATACTGAGCTGTTCCCAGGCCAGCAAAGAGATCTAGGGTGCGTTCCAAAAGTACCTCCTATTTCCCATTTCTAGCCTCCTTTCCTTGACCTTGATGAAAACAGCATTCTAGGAGAAAAGCCGTGCGCTGAGAAATGGATGTCTGCATTGTGAAACTATGATATGCAAAAGATAGACTACAAAACAAACATCTTACTTTGCTGTTTTACTGATTTCAAATAAACAAGAACAGGCTGCGAAAAATAACCCTTCATTACAAAGGTTGGTATTTTAAAGAAGAAGGAACAATTAGGGCCAGACTAACATCTGTGACAACCAAAAGCCTTCTTTTCACATTAAAATATGCTGGATTCACTAAAGAGGCTCAGTGTCAGTTTTGTGACTGAAAGTCGGAAGAGGAGTATTTTTGCAGTTGGCCTTACACCATACATATTTGCAAGAGTTTCACCTCTAGAAAAAGAATATTGAAATGAAAATGAAACCTTGTTTCATATCACTTTTTTAGGGTTTTTTCCTTCTTATTCTCATTGTCTTGAATATAATGTGGAATGCAAGATACCACACGGTTAAGAAGCAGTTAAAGTATGACTCATTACTGAAGAATGTGATTAACTTGTTCAAGTGCCTTTGCTTGACCCCTTTTTATAGCAGTTGAAGTTCATATTGAGTTACAATGAAAGAAAGTTAAAAATTGGATTAACAATTATTTTAAAGCCAAATTTCAGCCCTTTAAAAATGTAGCATTATCTTTTGATGTATGGCTTATAATATTACAATATTATAATATAATATAATATTCCTTTAGATGCCGCACTATAAGGACATACAGATACAACCAGTCAAAACTGCCGCTTTTAGCCAGAGGTCATTTATACTTAAAGTTACCAAAACTATTTCTAGTAAACAGTTTTTCATTCATTCATTAATTTCAATGTAATCTAATAAAGAGATACAATTTAAAAGAAAATTTAATCCAGACAAATAATATTCTTGCACACAAGCTTCTTCATAGATCCCAAGCCTGTAAATAAATGCGCCTCAACACTGCTCCACCTGGTGGATACACTGGAGATTACCACTGGTTTTCTTAACTGCCGTTTAGGGGTATTTGCTACTCATGGTTGCATCAGCCACGTCACAGGTGGGGGATGATTACACTCACCCACTAGCCAGCAATCAGTCAGAATCCCATCATGGTCCTGTCAGGGATGAGGTAGCCATTTTAAGTGGCTGTATTTTTACAGTGGTAGAATTCTTGGCAACAACGGTCGGATGCATGTTGCACTTTTGATGTAGCTTTATTGTCACAAACACTGCACCTATCACAATATTTGTATCATCAATTTAAAAAACAAAACAAAAACAGTTTTAACTCTGTTATATTCTGCCAAGTTAATATGACACTCCTGAGTCAGTTTAATAAGATAAAATTAGTTTTGATGGTACTAAAAATAATATTCATGAATCTAAATTCCATTATGCTACTCATCCCTGATACCCAGTTCAGTTTACTGTATGAAAGTAGCTTATTCAAAATCACTGCTCTGCTTAAACAGTCTAGCTCATGTACGGGTAAAGCAGGTTTACTGCTGAGATGATTTGTAAATACTTTCCTGGGGACAAGAGGCTGTAAAGTTAAGGTACTACCATGAACTGCAAAGCCAGCAAGTTTATCTGCCTTCAAGACTTTGATTTTCTGAATGAAATTTTGACCCCTCTCTCTCAACCTAATTATAACATATCTCCAGATCTTCACCGCCTCCTCCAGCTCTTTCATGGGACAGCAAGGCGTTCCAAGACAGCGAGATGTAATCTAGCCTCCGTGTCCTGGATTTAAACTTGGTCTGCCTCAGGGCCTTCTCCTGGGGAGACATGCCCAGAAAACCTCACCCAGGAGGCGCCCACGAGGCATTCTGGTCAGATGCCGGAAAAAATAAATGATGGCAAAAAAATCTCCCAAAAGAATCTTTGTTTCATTGAAAGCGCTGATAATAAAGACAGAGGAAGTGTAGGAGTGTGCAAAAGATTTTCTTTTACAGTGATTCGATCAAACAAAAGAATCAAATGTTGACTTAGATCATGACAATGAAAAAGGTGTGATCACAGTTTTTTGGGTTTGGTTTTTTTTTTTTTAAATGCACTCAAATCTGGAGTTACTGAAAAAGTAGTTAGGGAGAAATTTCACTCCGTTTAAGTCTGGCTTATACCAACTTAACTTGTTTTTCCTAGGCCACACACTGCTTTTACTAGTTTTTACCATCATGTGTTCTCTACTTTTATGTTTTATTTTATCTGTATGCTTTCTGGTTAACAAGCCCAACTGCCCTCACTACAATATTATTCCTGCTCAGGGGAATTTTAAATAATTTCATAGGTGTTCAGTAATTTGAACTACAACATAGCTCTGAGGAGCCTGTATCATGAATGCTCAGTGGCTATAATCTCTCTTCATTTAGTGCATGCAATTGATGGCACCAGGAGTAGCAAGTTTTAGTGTTTATATTCAAAGATGTTTTTAGCTCTCTAATTTCTGAGTGGATGTTCATGGTAACAATTTTGTCACACAAAGATGAATGCATTGTGTAAATACAGTCAAGCCCATAATTATTCATGGCAAATTTTGACTTGACGTTACTCTTATTCAACCATTAATTACACAGGTGTCTCCCAAAGACAATAAGATGATGTAAAAGAGGCATCATTGTGGAGAAAAATATTTCTGAGCTCTTATTTACATTTGAGCAAAAAGTGTAATGTCCAAAATTATTCATACCCATCACAAACTGTCACAGTCTCTTGGAAAATCTAAAGTTCTATACCATTCCAAACAGTCCAAGATGTTCTACAGCATTCTCATTACCCTGATTCACTGAGAACAGGTGTTTTAATCAATTTAACAGGTGAAAAACAGCAGCTCCTTGTGGACAGGCATGACTAAGACAAAGGAGCTCAGTGAGGACCTGCAGCTGTGCATTGTGGCTGCTCACAAGTCAGGAAAGGGCTACAAGGTTATATCTAAAGGTTTTCAAGTTCCAATGTTATTAAAAAAAATACAAGATGTTCCGCAGTGTGGAACATCTCAGAGGATGTGGTTGGAAGTAACACCTGTGCTGGCCAGCAGGATGGTGAGAGGTGTGAAATAGAATTACAAGGATCACCACCAAGACCATACTGGTGAATCTGTGCTCTACTAGTGGCAATGTCTCAAGGCAGACAATCCAACGGAAACTGGACAGTGCTATGTTCCAGTAATGCAGACCAAGGAAGACGCCACATCTCCAGAGAAGGCACACAAAAGCCTGCTTGGCCTTTGGAAATGCTCATCTGGACAAAGAAGCAGAGTTCTGGTCTTCCGTGTTACAATCAGATGAAACAAAAATTGAATTGTTTGGACACAATGATGTTTCCTTCATTTGGCATAAAAAACAAAACAAAACAAAAGCAAAAAAGGAGAAACGTTTTGCTAAGAACACCATCCCCTCTGTCAAACATGGTGTTGGGAACCTAATGCTTTGGGGCTATGTTTCAGCCAACAGACCAGGGAACCTAATCACAGTAAATGGCACCATGAGAAAAGAGCAATACAAGAAGATTCTCAACAATAACATCAGGCAGTCTGCAGAGAAACTTGGCCTTGGGCACCAGTGGACATTTCAGCACAACAATGACCCAAAACACACAGCAAAAGCGGTGAAGAAATGGTTAGCAGACAAAAACATTAACGTTTTGCAGTGGCCCAGCCAGACTCCTCACTTGAAACCAATTGAAAATCTGTGGAGGGAGCTAAAGATCAGGGTGATGGCAAGAAGACTCTACAACCTGAAAGAGTTGGAGCTCATTGCTAAAGATGAATGGACAAAAATACCTGTGGAGACACGCAAAAAGCTGGTCTGCAATTATAGGAAGAGTTTGATTGCTGTAATCGAGGTCTTTCTATTGATTATTGCGTGGGGTATGAATAATTTTGGACGTGACACTTTTTGCTCAAATGTAAATAAAAGATGAGATTTTTTTTCCCCTCCAAAATGATGCGTCTTGTACATCATCTTATTATCTTTTGGGAGACGTTTGTGTCATTTCTGGTAAAAAAAAATAAACTAAAAAAAAACTAAAAAACTTGCTGATTGAATAAAAGTAACTAAGTCAAAACTTGCCAGGGTTATGAAAAAGTATGGGCTTGACTGTATCAACAATCCTGCAGACCATAGTGTTTTAATGTGGAATATCACATGGATTCATGTGTGTGATTAATACTTGCTATGCTTGCACACACAAACTGCATTTGCAGCCACTTTCCTACTGAGGTAGGAATTCATAGTTCAGTCAAATGCAGAATATTTTTAATGGACAAATTACATCCAGCTAACATGGTCACAGGCACTGTGTGTTTGTACATAGAGAACTCGCTGGTTCTGCTAGCTTGTACTTGGCAGTAGTGCACACTGCCAATTACGTCTAGCACTAGCAAGTTAACTGATTAATAGAAAAGAAATTACCAGCTTTAGTTCAGTTTAAATCAAGAGAATCAAAAAATATCTCAGGTCAAGATGAAAAAGGAAAAGACTGTGACCAACAAAAACTGTATAAAGTTTTCAGATAACCTTGCTTTTAATTGAAAATAATGACTAGTGATCCTGTTAGATGTCAAGATGGCAAAACCTTAAAAAACAAAAAAACAAAAGAAAAACAGGCTCTGCACTAGAATCATCTGCAACGTGTTCCACCAAATCTCAAGCTTTAAAGGATCTTTGAAAGGTCCTAACTTATGAGTCCAGCAGTTTAAAGTTCTGTATAGTTGTGCACTGATTCATGTTATGTAGAAGCAGTGAATCAAGCGGCATCAGGCGGCCTTAGAGTGAAGAGGTAGGAGCTTGAAATGTTAAAGTGACACTATGTGCACACAGGCAAGAGCAGACAAATTGAGTGAGCAACTGTGGACTCATGTTGGAGTGAAAAAAATCAGGGGTCTACCTGGTAGAGACAGTGGCAGACACTGCGGAGCTGTGGGGGAAATTCGCCTGATGAACTAATGATGGCCTGAAAAAAGCGCTCAGTGATTTGCAGCAGGTTCCTCTGGTTCTCTTCGAGGTTCTCACCTTGTTCCAATCTGATGACAAAAAAACAAACAAAAAAAACTCAGTTCTATTAGTCTTTCAGTTCTTGTGACCGTATAGAAATAGTGGGCAGCACTTAGCTGATACATGCATCCAACACATAGTTTGTGTTTTTTTATTTGAAGCAGTTCCAGTGACTAAACTATGGCAAACGGGAAAAAAGCCAGTGTATGGCAGCACAAAATTCGTAACGTATGAGAAGAAATTTGCCAGTGACTTGCAGAGGAAGCTCCTCCTTGTTCATGCTATAATTTTGTTACCACTTAAATTTCTCCAACATCTGCTACCTAGGCCATTTCTCAAAAGGCATTAAGAAAAAGAAGGGCTTCAGTTTTTCAGTCTAAGCTGTCTGCAGAGATGGAGGTACTAACCTGGTGGGGTCCACCTCAAAGCTAATGTGTTCAGGGGTTGTGATGACTCCTCTCAATAAAGGCTCCAGTAACTTCTGTAGATAGGCTGCCCCGTATACCTGAAAAAAGAAAGAGTGACAGCTTAAATCATGCAAACAACATGTCCTAAGAGGCAGTTAAGAAGCATTTCTAAAGAATTCACAAGAAGAGTCAGGCAGGGTTTCTACCTTGAAACAAAAGGTCATTATCTTGCTGGCCAGGCTATTTCCTCTGAAGAGGGTTTGCATGGAGTCAGCTAGCTCCACCTCTTTAGAAAACATATTCCACAGGAGTTGGTAGAGTAGGTGTCGGGAATCAAACAGTGTCACCAGGACTCGTGCTAGTTCATCCTGAAAACACATAGAGTAACTATTACATAGGCTTTCACTGTATTAAAGCAACATTATGAACACACCCATTCATTAAAAAAGGGAAAAAAGGCCTCTGAAAGGTCTGTGCAAATGTGTAGTAGCATTATGTTACCTACGACATTGTCGTAGGTAACATATGTCAACATTCAATTTTAAATCCGTGGTTAAAAACAAAAAGAAGCCACACACCCATTGAGACCCTGGAACCACATTAGCTAATGCCATGGCAATGGGCAGCTCTCCTTGGTCTCCCATCATGGTGACCAGCTCTACCAGCCTCTCAAAGCGGTCAGCCAACACAGTCTCAGCCAGTGTGTCAAACTCTGTTCCCTGTTGAAGGATCTTGGTCAGCACTTCCATAAATGTGGCTCGAGTCTGAAGATCTTTGTGATAACCGAGACCTGAAAAAGAGGAAACCAAAATGTAAATTTACTAAAATAAACTACTGGACTTCCTCACAACAGATTCATTTTGCCTTATATATTTCCTTACTTACCAATTGAGTGCATAAGACCACTGTCCACATTAGCATTGAGTAGATTGGACATTGCTAGGATGGTGCAATGTCGAAGGGATGCCAGACGTCGGGACATTCCTCTCTTACGTCCCCCAACTGCCTGGCCTTCATCCTCCACCTCACTGCAGTCATTCAGCAGGTTCATGAACAGAGTAAAGTACCTGCACACCACCAAAAACAACAGCTAAATGAGAAAAGATGGGTTTTCTATAGTCTCACTATACTGTGCATCTTTTATTTGTATACCTTCACGGGGGTTCACATTTTCAGTGACAAATTTCAGAAACCCAGTTGTAAAATCATTACTGGAAGTGTACTGAATGTGACAAATTTGGCAAAAACAAAACAAATGAAAAACCAAAACGGAAAAGTAAACGTGGTCCGTTGTAAACTGTATAATTCTGTCTGAAATCAGGCATCAGTGACACTGCAATCTGCAGCAGTGGGCTGAACAGAGGTTTGTCTCAGTGTTCAGCCCCATTCCCAACATCAAGGAGACATCCCTGTATTCTCATACAGATAGTAATGTGGAAGATTCTTGGGCCACTCGCCATTTCTTGCGAGGAAAATGGGAAATAGGTGCACTGATTAAAGGCAGTTACTGAATTTGTACAGTTCTACACTCATTTGGTAAAGTCACCTTTATTCTTCAAAACAGCCTGAACTCTATTAGGTAAGCTTTCTTGTCATTTCTTTTAGCAGTTGTCCACACTTCTTGAAGGACACTTGAAAGATCTTGCATCAAGATCTCCAAATACCACTGGCTGAAATGCAGCTCGAAACCACTGTATGTAGCTGTAGATACTATTGTACCTTTCTTCTGACCTCCTCCATGCATATAAACCACAATTTGATACAAAACAAATCTGGATCAATGGCTTCATTAGACCTGTTGCCACTGATTTTCAAGATTCAGGTAATTTTGGATACCTCAGCCTTTTCTCTTTTCTTCCCTTCCTTAAGAACGGCTCCTTGCATCTTACTATTATGTGAGTAAATAAGCCTCTTAATGTTCATGTTTGAGCAGACCACACCTTAGTCAGACTGCTGCTGGGAATCCACGAGGGTGGCTTCATCGCCGCCTGTCTGGCAGAATAGAGAAGCAGAGTGCGAGGACAGCCAGAAAGCAGTCCTTTGTCTTTTTTTTTTTTTTTTTTTTTTTTGGGGGGGGGGGGTGTTCCCCTCATTCTCTAATGTCTTGGACAGATGATCCTGCTCCGACATTTAGGATTCTGGGCCTCAGCATAACCATGTATAATATCCACAAAACTCAAAAAGAGGTTATACACACACAGTACTGTAATATTATGTTGAAGCACAGTACGTATCACTCCGCAAGGCTCCTGCCTACGATAGCCGTAATGCTCCGACAATCCATCAAGAGGTGCGGCTTCGTAGCTTAGCAAAGTCGTACTAAAACATTTGACAGATTTTCGAGCGCCGTGTACATAAAATCGTTTCGAGGTCAGTAAACACAACCAGAATTCATACATAAGGCACACGGGATTATAAGGGGCACTGTCGATTTTCAGAAAAATCACTGGATTGATTTTGAGTGCACCGTATTTCCCAAAAAACACGGTAATAACGGCCCGCTAGCATGCTCCACCAAAAATAGTGCTTTGTTGTGTATCTGACGGACGAAAGCTAAACCAGTCCCACACCACTGAAGTTGCAGCATTTTTACAAACCAGTTCTGGTTCATCCGTTTCATTCAACGATCTGCTTTCACCCTTATCATTCTCCATCGCCGCCATGCTTTCCACCATATGCGTATGAAAAAAAGGCACTGCGCATGCGCGTTTTACCCATATTCTATGGCGATATTTCATTTTCTTATCGTTGCCCAACATTATACCGGTATTACCATGAACGGTATGATATGGCCCAGCCCTACTCCAGAGGAGGTGAATGGTTCAACTTACATTCCACACAGTCTTGTCCATCACAACAACAAAGCCCCCCTAGTCTTCAACTGCTCCTTCCTCTACCAGCAAACTGCCAAACTTAATGACCTCATGCTGCCAGGCCCCATGCTTAGCCCTTCACGCCCCAGCGTGTTACACCAATTCCACCACCATGCTGTGGCCATAAGCGGTGATATAAATTTATTCTAAATTTTTACTTTACCAAAAACATCTGGATTGAATAATAAATTGGATAGGTTGAGACTGGCTGTATGAAAGGTAGTCTAGAGCCTAGAAAAGCTGAAGGAGAGATGTGTTCAAGTAAAGCTCCTTCCAACACCATCCAACTGGAGCTAACAACAATGTTCCAATATTTGATGCCCAGCAATAATATATGTTTGGAAGTGACATATCGCTCATTGTTCTAACTAACTATAAGATATTTTCATGTACCCTCAGCTGTCTTTCATGAAGTTTTATGAAGATATGCAGTTGGCAATTAAGGTTGGAAAAGAAAGATTTTTTTAAAACACAAAGAAATTTAGGGACTACACACATCTTGATAGATGTGACTTTTCCTCATAACAGAGGTTGATAATTAGCCCTATAAAGATCCCTAAAACTAAAACAAACAAAAACCCAAATTGACAAAGTAATCATTTGTCAGATGTTTCTACGACTTGATTTGGGTCCAATGGTGGTAAATTTCATTGACTGGACATAATATGGAAAGGCACACACCTGACTATATAAGATCCCATATTTGACAGTATATGTCAGAGAACAAACCAAGTCATCAAGTTCAAGGAATTGCCCATAGACCTCAGAGACAGATAGGATTACTCAGGGGTGCTGACTCATTTAAACTAACATAAAGAAGAAGAAGAAGAAAGTGTGTACATTATTGTACTTTATTGAGCCCCGTGGGGAAATTGCTCTCTGCATTTAACCCATTCACTCAGTGAAGCAGTGGGCAGCCATTGGGCGCCCGGGGAGCAGTGTGTAGGGACGGTACCTTGCTCAGGGGTACCTCAGGGTAGCTGTTAAGGGGAATCGAACCCCCGACCTTCCGATCATGGGGCAACCACTCTACCTACTGAGCTATCCCTGCCCCATACAACATCCTGTAACCAGGTTTCTGGTTTCTGACTTTTAATTTAGTGACCTCTGAGACATAAATGGGTTGGCGGTGTAATGAGGGCTTCAGTTTAAAACTAGTCAGCCTGTTTTCACAGCTGCTTCGAGCGCTAAAGGCCTCTATCACATAGGAAACGGCATACTCAGTGCTACACTCTGAAACCCATCGTTTCAGAGAGTACTTGTGCATTGAGCCTAGCTTCCAAAGCAGTATACAGCCTAAATTTCTTACAGGCATCATCATTACTAAAGGCTGAGGAGTAGCTAAATATCTTACACACTGAGTGCCAAAGGTGCAGGAGGGAAGCTACAAGCTTAACTGAGCTAGCGAATCCATAAAGACACAGTGAATCCACTGCACTTCCTAATTCTATGACTGTACTTCATCTGTCCTGATCGGTAGGGCAGGGCAACATGGCCAAAAATATTTATCACGATACAGGGAGTGCAGAATTATTAGGCAAATGAGTATTTTGTCCACATCATCCTCTTCATGCATGTTGTCTTACTCCAAGCTGTATAGGCTCGAAAGCCTACTACCAATGAAGCATATTAGGTGATGTGCATCTCTGTAATGAGAAGGGGTGTGGTCTAATGACATCAACACCCTATATCAGGTGTGCATAATTATTAGGCAACGTCCTTTCCTTCGGCAAAATGGGTCAAAAGAAGGACTTGACAGGCTCAGAAAAGTCAAAAATAGTGAGATATCTTGCAGAGGGATGCAGCAGTCTCAACATTGCAAAGCTTCTGAAGCGTGATCATCGAACAATCAAAATAGTCAACAGGGTCGCAAGAAGCGTGTGGAAAAACCAAGGCGCAAAATAACTGCCCATGAACTGAGAAAAGTCAAGCGTGCAGCTGCCAAGATGCCACTTGCCACCAGTTTGGCCATATTTCAGAGCTGCAACATCACTGGAGTGCCCAAAAGCACAAGGTGTGCAATACTCAGAGACATGGCCAAGGTAAGAAAGGCTGAAAGACGACCACCACTGAACAAGACCCACAAGCTGAAACGTCAAGACTGGGCCAAGAAATATCTCAAGACTGGTTTTTCTAAGGTTTTATGGACTGATGAAATGAGAGTGAGTCTTGATGGGCCAGATGGATGGGCCCGTGGCTGGATTGGTAAAGGGCAGAGAGCTCCAGTCCGACTCAGACGCCAGCAAGGTGGAGGTGGAGTACTGGTTTGGGCTGGTATCATCAAAGATGAGCTTGTGGGGCCTTTTCGGATTGAGGATGGAGTCAAGCTCAACTCCCAGTCCTACTGGACATTGCTGCTGCATGCAATGTTGATGGTGAACAGATCAAAACACTGACAGAATCCATGGGTGGCAGGCTTTTGAGTGTCCTTGCAAAGAAAGGTGGCTATATTGGTCGCTGATTTGTTTTTGTTTTGTTTTTGAATGTCAGAAATGTATATTTGTGAATGTGGAGATGTTATATTGGTTTCACTGGTAAAAATAAATAATTGAAATGGGTATATACAGTGGGGCAAAAAAGTATTTAGTCAGCCACGGATTGTGCAAGTTCCCCCACCTAAAATGATGACAGAGGTCAGTAATTCGCACCAGAGGTACACTTCAACTGTGAGAGACAGAATGCGAAAAAAAAAAATCCATGAATCCACATGGTAGGATTTGTAAAGAATTTATTCGTAAATCAGGGTGGAAAATAAGTATTTGGTCAATAACAAAAATACAACTCAATGCTTTCTAACATAACCTTTGTTGGCAATAACAGAGGTCAAACGTTTACTATAGGTCTTTACCAGGTTTGCACACACAGTAGCTGGTATTTTGGCCCATTCCTCCATGCAGATCTTCTCGAGAGCAGTGATGTTTTGGGGCTGTCGCCGAGCAACACGGACTTTCAACTCCCGCCACAGATTTTCTATGGGGTTGAGGTCTGGAGACTGGCTAGGCCACTCCAGGACTTTCAAATGCTTCTTACGGAGCCACTCCTTTGTTGCCCGGGCGGTGTGTTTTGGATCATTGTCATGTTGGAAGACCCAGCCTCGTTTCATCTTCAAAGTTCTCACTGATGGAAGGAGGTTTTGGCTCAGAATCTCACGATACATGGCCCCATTCATTCTGTCCTTAACACGGATCAGTCGTCCTGTCCCCTTGGCAGAAAAACAGCCCCATAGCATGATGTTTCCACCCCCATGCTTCACAGTAGGTATGGTGTTCTTGGGATGCAACTCAGTATTCTTCTTCCTCCAAACATGACGAGTTGAGTTTATACCAAAAAGTTCTACTTTGGTTTCATCTGACCACATGACATTCTCCCAATCCTCTGCTGTATCATCCATGTGCTCTCTGGCAAACTTCAGACGGGCCTGGACATGCACTGGCTTCAGCAGCGGAACACGTCTGGCACTGCGGGATTTGATTCCCTGCCGTTGTAGTGTGTTACTGATGGTGACCTTTGTTACTTTGGTCCCAGCTCTCTGCAGGTCATTCACCAGGTCCCCCCGTGTGGTTCTGGGATCTTTGCTCACTGTTCTCATGATCATTTTGACCCCACGGGATGAGATCTTGCGTGGAGCCCCAGATCGAGGGAGATTATCAGTGGTCTTGTATGTCTTCCATTTTCTGATGATTGCTCCCACAGTTGATTTTTTCACACCAAGCTGCTTGCCTATTGTAGATTCACTCTTCCCAGTCTGGTGCAGGTCTACAATACTTTTCCTGGTGTCCTTCGAAAGCTCTTTGGTCTTGGCCATGGCGGAGTTTGGAGTCTGACTGTTTGAGGCTGTGGACAGGTGTCTTTTATACAGATGATGAGTTCAAACAGGTGCCATTCATACAGGTAACGAGTGGGGGACAGAAAAGCTTCTTACAGAAGACGTTACAGGTCTGTGAGAGCCAGAGATTTTCCTTGTTTGAGGTGACCAAATACTTATTTTCCACCCTAATTTACGAATAAATTCTTTACAAATCCTACCATGTGGATTCATGGATTTTTTTTTTCACATTCCGTCTCTCACAGTTGAAGTGTACCTCTGGTGCAAATTACTGACCTCTGTCATCATTTTAAGTCGGGGAACTTGCACAATCGGTGGCTGACTAAATACTTTTTTGCCCCACTGTATTTGTTTTTTGTTAAGTTGCCTAATAATTATGCACAGTAATAGTCACCTGCACACACAGATATCCCCCTAAAATAGCTAAAACTAAAAACAAACTAAAAACTACTTCCACAAACATTCAGCTTTGATATTAATGAGTTTTTTGGGTTCATTGAGAACATGGTTGTTGTTCAATAATAAAATTATTCCTCAAAAATACAACTTGCCTAATAATTCTGCACTCCCTGTAGACTTAAACACACCCGCGGATCAGAATCAGTGAGATGTCGCCTTTCTCACGATCGGGGCTGAAAGCCGACAGCTCGCTGATTCTGATCTGTCGGCGGGTCCGCGCTTTGTGTTCACGCCCTTTATGCGCTGATTCTAAAGCTGTTAGTTTGATGTCTCTCCAAACAATATTGACCGAACCAGCAGCAAAAGAAGATCCAAACTACGCTTCACATAAACATCGTCATGAATTCACTCTGACTTTTGCTGTTTTGCTTCCACGGCGATGCACAGCTCGCTCTCTCTCTCTCTCTCTCTCTCTGTACTTCAAGAACAGTTTCCCGTCTAAAAATCTGTTTTCTTCATTATTCGCTTGCTTGTTACGCACAAGTCTACCGTTGTTTACAGCGCTGTCGGCCGCTGTTTTTTTTCCCTTTTACATTCTTCCGAAAAGAAAACCTCATTTCTGCTCTTCAATACTGAACAAATTTAAACTTTTTAAAATTATGCAAAATGCAAAATGCTAAATCTCTACTAAAACCACTGTAACTTCAGAGGTAATGTTCATGTGTTGATTAATGGTTTTCTTTCGTTTTTGATGTACTGCAGAATATTTTTATAAATCCCAGGCCAGGAAAACCACCTTCATCTTTTTCTGTGTTTTATCTTCAGCTACTTTGACACAAAGGCCTCTGCTGTGATGCTCACACCTTTGATAAAGTCTTGCGTGTGTCAGCTTCCTTTTTATTGATACAAAAATATGTAAATGTACTGATCTGAATTATTTCTGACTGTCAAAATTTCCCAGATTTAAATCGAATCGAATTAAATCGAATCGTGGATCGAATCGATTCGGGACCTTGTGAATCGGAATTGAATCGATTCTAGAAATCAGTGACGATACCCAGCCCTACTCATTAGCCTCATTTACCAACTGGGCCCAGTCAGCAATCACCTCTCTGAGGTCATATAAGCTGGGGATGAACTGGATGTAGGAGGGTGGTTTTTCCTCTGGTGTTCCCACATTGTGTGTCGAAGGTGTCGGGAGAGATCCTATAGTGGGGAGTTGTGGAAGCAGTGTAGCTGCTACATGTGAGTCGTGTGGGCTTGTGGGCCCCTGGAAGTGCCTCCTCATGCTGTGGAGTTTTTTGTTTGGTTGTTCTGTTCTTTGTTGTTGCGACCTTTTTCTTTTTCCAAGTGTTATTGGTAAAATGGCGTTGTCGGCTCTTTATGTTAAGCTCATCTATAATAAAAACTATTTTATTTACTAGACACCTCTGTCTGTTCTCCTTTCATTCTGTTCCGGACCCATATGTTACCAGTCCCCCCACACACCCCTAGACCTTCATCGTGGGGACGTAACAATGATGTTAACTGCATAATCCCCAGGAGGCCCTAAGACAGCCTTATCAGTCAACCAGCAAAACCTCTAATGTTAAGTTTTACCCTTTTGACGACCCCTGTTGAGGCAGGCCCATCACGGGTCGATCAATCGTGGGCATGTGTATCGTGGTTAGCTGACTGCCTTAGCTGCCCAAGTGATGTCAGCCCTTTTTAACCATAGCCAGTGACTGGTCCTCTCAGCAGTGTTAGCTAGTTCTCCATTAGCCTGCCGTTGCGCCTGTCCTCTGATCCCAGTCTCTCTAAGCAGCTTTGCTCAGACTTAAAAAGAGGTTATACACACACAATACGGTAATATTCTGTTGAAGCACAATACGTATCACTCCGCGAGGCTCCTGACTACGGTAGCCGTAACGCTCCGACAATCCATGAAGCGGTGCGGCTTCGTAGCTTAGCAAAGTCGTACTAAAACATTTTTTGACAGATTTTTGAGCGCCGTGTTCCAAATAAAATCGGTTTAGTAATAACGACGGCCCACTTGCATGCTCTACCAAAAAATGGTATGATATGGCCCAGCCCTACTGATCGGTCTCATTTTTCCATTCATAAATTATATCTCTCACTTTCTCAGCGCACTCTCTTCATTTGTTAGTACGTTTCCATCTCAATCTCTAATCACCTTAATGCTGGGCAGACACTGTGTGATGACCTGCGAACGATGCAGGGTCTCACACTATACGGCCTGATGCTCTGATGCGACCTGAGTGCTCACACTGTGCGTCCATAAAACGAAGGTTATAACAGAAATAATGTCGCTTGCTCTCCCTCTGGCTTTCACTCACACAGACACACCACCACCATCAACTTTGCTAAATTGCTAATGAAAAACATTGATCAGGCAGCTGTGATTGAGCAGCAGTGTAGATCCAACTATTTTCACGGTTGTTGTGGTCGTGATCATTTTGTGAGGCCACATCGAAAAGGCTCGGATGAGCTTTCCAAAGTTCTACAAGTTGTGCCTCCATCGCTTGTGTCCAGATCACACGCTGCACTGCCGTACTGCTCCGTCTTTTTCCCTGACATTTGTGTTTGCACGTGCGCAGTGTGAGAAACTGCGGTGACACCCTCACGACCAAGCGATTGATGATCGGGAGCTGGTCGTGAGGTGTTAATAGCTTCTCGTTACCCCACGTATACTACACGATGCACGATGAAGGCCAAAATCGGGCCAATCGCCAAAACGGTCGCACGACTCAAAAATCGGCTCAAAATGGGCCAAAAATCGCACAGTGTCTGCCCAGCATAACAGGGTGTACGTCCTTTCCCGCTCAATCTCTTTGGCTAGCCAACTGATACAAGTCCTTTTCTCCTTCCCCTGAGTGTCCAGCCTCACATACATGATCCTGTCTGACACTCTCTTCATCTCTAAAACACCATCTCACATCCTTAAACATTGCCCCTAATCAATTTCCTCTTCCTCTGTCTTTGGCCATGATGCATTGCACTTATTGCAGAGCGAGGCTGTACATAGTACTTGTGGCTGTGAGAGCATCAGCATTCAAACATAAAATTTCTGATGATTGTGAGCTACTGTTGAGATGAATTAATGATCAAGTACTGTCTTTTATGCCACAGAAAAGGTAAAATGTTGATGTGTTCTTACTTCAAGAAGAGCTGAGATTTGGCCTCCATCAGCTCTACTCCATCTCCCTCCTCTGGCTGCAAAGGAAGACCAGCTAACAGTGATACTACAGCCTCCATACTGGCTTGGTCCAGGTCCCTTAGCATCGCACATTACACATGCATGCATGCACACAAACAGACACACAGACAAATATGAAAACAATGAGAAGGGAGTTCATCATTTCCTGACAATACAATGGTTTTATAGCATATATTTAACAGAGATGCACCTTGTCAGGCACTTGATGTCATCATCAGCAGCTTGGTTGGAGGTTCCCATTACCCAGTCTGTCAGATATTCCACCATCTTGTTCCTACAAAACACCATGAGTGAAAAATTCCATTATGTCCAAAGGGGCAATACATTTCTATGTAAATAACAAGCGGAGGGGCAGCGGGCTGCACTATTGCGTCGCAGCTTGGTGATGGACGGTGCTTGTTTCAAACCCATTGGCCACCTGGGACCTTTCTGTGTGAAGTCTGCATCTTCTCTCGGGTAGTCTAGCTTCCCCAAACAGTCAGAAGATATTCAAAGGGTTATGTTAATTTGCGAGTCTAAATTGGCCAAACGTGTCAAAGTAAGCGTCAATGGTCGTCTGTCTCTCAGTGATACCTGGGGACCTGTCCAGAGTGTACCCTGCCTTTTGCCCTGTGACAGCTGGGAAAAGCTTCAACCCCCCCAATCCAACTCTGAATCGAATAAGTGGAAGAAGAAAATCTAAGTGAATAGGATGTGTTCTTCAGTTAAAATGCATTAAGTCAGTAAGTGCAAGCAGCTGGTATAAAAAGTAGAAGATGTGTTTTTCCTCAGTGATGTGCAAGCAAACAGTGTCCTAACTGGTAGCTGGTTCTACTGACCTGAACTTCATCTCCTGGCAGAAGGACAGGTCATCTCGTCTCTCCATCATCACCTCGACCAGCTGGCACAGCTTGGTTTTGATCTGGATCGCATGGACTACATTACCCAAAATACGCACATACCTAAGGGATAGAGCACAGTTCTGTGTAGCTCAGAGCATATTCTGTGATTTTCATTACAGTTTCCAAAAGCTTCAGAGACAAATAAAATCATAATTCCATTCACTTTGAAAAAACAAAATCTCTCTCACTGACATTATTCACTTTTTAAACACATTTGGATAAGCAAACATTTGATCCTGTTTAAAACAGCGCCTATTGATAAAGTCGACATACTCTGATGGAAAACCCTAAAAGGGTTAAATGTACTGGATTTATATAGTTTTTCCTTCTAGTCTTACTCGCCCCTCACAGTATATACAGCCACTTAAAATGGTCACCTGGTCCCTAACAGGACGATGATGGATGCTTAGCCGATTCTTAGCAGTAATGATATATCTTGCCTGTGACATGGACCATGCAACCATGAGTAGGAACACCCATAAGTGGCATTTAGGAAAACCAGTTGTAATGTCTTGCATATCCAGCAGGGGGAGGAGTGTGCATTCATTTACCTTTTAAATACTTATAACAGAACCATTACTTTAAGCCTTTCTATAAAATACCAACATAAATGTTTGCTTGCACCAAATAAAAAAGAGGTTGTGCATACCAAACACGCAAGACAGAAGACAGACAGTGATGCTTGCTGTCTATGGTCAAAATCAAAACTGAAATGTGAATTAAGCACTTGCTGGATTGTGCAACACCCAGCAATTAATGCAATTTAAACAAGCTGCCATAGAGCACTCAAAATGTGTGTATGTGCCTGCGTTTTTCTGCCAGAAATTTGTGGCACTTTGTTCTAAACAATTGGGGTGATTAATAGGGTCAGTAAAAAGATTCTGTAGGAGAGGGGCACAAAATAGTAGTTTTACTAATAATGTATGGATTGCATAATTTTAAAATGCAGTAAATTGGCTGGTGTAACTGCGTTTTTTGTTTTAAACCCTTCTGCTCTGTACATCTCTGATAAATCACTACTTGTAACACATTAGGCGATTATTCAAACAGCTCTCTGACCCCTCCCACCAAAGGCCAATGAATTCCAAACCCCAGCCCAAATATCCTCTCTATGTCCAACTGTGATTTTAACAGACGCACATAGTAGTCCTGCAGAAATCACTGACAGAAAGTACTGACAGAACACTGTGATACAAACAATCTTCTTCTTTGAATTTTCCTGAATTTTATGACATTAAAATAAGGGAGTTAAGCTTTTTACATTTTAATGCTTGTTGTTCAGCTGCCGTGCTTTATCTGTATTTCATTGAAACAATCATCACTTATTAATGATCGTGAAATAAAAGCCTTCCTTCTACAGGCAAGCAGCAACCCCCCAATATGGGAATAGTTTCGGTGACTACAAGATTTCTCATAAAATCTTTTACAGGTAATAATTCAAGTCAAAGGGGTGTGTTTATAGTGGAAAGTAGATATGTCCCAGGAGAAGGAGGGGGGTACTCCGATCAGCTGACAACCGGTTGACATATGGCTGTTAGCAGCAAACATGAGTGGCTGTACCTGTAAACCACATTCACCCATTTAGTTTATGAGGTAAAAAGGTGCCTTATCCTAGATTTTGCTAGTATTTAATTCTCATCTGCAGGTCCTGGACAGGTACACAAAATATTAAAGAATTTATAATTTAATCAAACATACAGTCTCCAAAAGTTGATTGTGTTCATCTGGACATGGCGTTTTCAGTGAGAGAAACGTTTCATCACTCATGCAAGTGACTTGTTCAGTTACTGGAGACTGAAGAAGCCTGAGGACTTTGTTATTAGATAAAATGAATATTGATAAAGTTTACCTTTATGGGCAGAATCTGCAGTAGAAAAAATGTGATAAATCAGAATATATCACATCGCGAGTTAAGTATTGTGATCATATCGTATTGTGGGGTGTCTGGTGATTCCCACCTCTACTAAATATGTTCAAACTTTTGACCATACTCTTTTAATGCAAAGTGGAGATGGTTAAGCAGAAAATGTTCTACATGCCACTGTGAGATGGAATGATCCATGAGAGAAGGCTGGACCATTCTGCTAAATGATGAAGAAACTCTACTAGAAGTTATTCTGCTAAAAGGAACAACTATGTCCAGATGTTATGACATTTATTTTCACATTTTTAATGCCAAAAAGAACATCAATTTAGATTTAGTTTGTTGTGGTGTTTTATGCTTTGTAATTTCCATCACCGCACAATGTTTTAATTTCATATTTTGCTGTGATTACCTTACTAGGTTGAGCATCATGGTCTCAATGCTGGCTTGTCCCAGGTGTTCAGAGCTGCCCTCTGAGTGGTTATCTAACAGGTTCTTCATGATGGCTATGGTCTGCTCCACAAACTGTGTGTTAGTGTCGTTGATGGGAACCTGAAAAAACGGAAAGCCACAACGTAAATGTCAGTAACATTGTTACTGTACACAGTGTTAAAGAAACAAAACAACAAACACACTTGGTGACTTTTGATAAAGGACTGAATTTTATCAAAGCTGCAATGTGATGAACCAAAACAAAGAATTGTTTAAGAAAAATCTGACAATTTAATCCAGATTTGTTTTTGAGTCCTTGCCAGAAGAAAATTTGGGGATTTTTTGGGCCAAAACCAGCCATTTAACCAAAACTCCAGCGTTATTGACAGTTAACCATGTTAAACTCTCCTCAAGCAAGGTAATGATGATTCTTTTAAATATTATGAATATATATAATTAAAAAGTAATATTAATCCATTTAAGACTGATAAAGAACATTTTTCTGCAAATTACAGATACAGCCACTCAAAACTGCTGCTTTCAGCCAGAGATGAGCCGACAGTCAACTGTCAGCTGAAAGTCAGTCGCTGAGAGTCTCCCTTTCGTCCTTGGGGCGTATACTTTCCGCTATAAACACGTCCCTTTCACTCAATTGCATAGTGGCACCAAGGGATGTCGCTTTGTTAGGGGAAAGAAAAAATAAAAAACCCACACACTTTGGATAGTTAGTCATAGATGATTTTCTCAGTATTATTGTAGGGCCTTTATGTTATAATATAAAGCGCATTAAGGCAAGTGTTTTGATTTCATGCTATAAAACTGAATTTAATGGAATTTTACATTCTTTTGATAGCTTTTGCTGTAAACCTCTTCACCGATTAAAATCTAAAAGAAATTGATAAAACTTCATTTTCAGCATTCAGACATTTCATACTACAAATCCCCCAAACTATTTTCAGTTAACAGTTTTTCATTCATCCAATTCAAGCTAATCTAATAAAATAGTTACAATTTAAAGGAAAATTGAATACAAAAAATAATATTCTTGCACACAAGCTTCCTCAAAGATCCCAGCCTATTGTTTGCTGGGCTGATACTTCTTCAGACCTCTGTTTGAAATATGAGTACATTCTTCACTTTTCCGTGTAAGGTTGAAACTAAATACTTTGATTTATTCTTTAAATTTCTTCTAATTCTTACATTTGTATAGTCGCTCATTAAGACCAGGTTGAACGCTAATAACGCGATTCTTTGTGACCTGTTAGCAAATGCAGATTTTCCACCTATAACTAAATAATAATAGTATTCTTGCACACAAGCTTTCTCAAAGATCCAGACCTGCATAAATACTACAGGTTGGATACTTTGCAGGACATGTATCAGTCGTTGGACTTGGAGTGTCCCTTTCACAGCGCAAAATTTTTGAACCAGAGTATTATATTGCAAATCACAAAGGCGATTTACTAAGATTAGTGGCAGACAACTTGAGTAAGCAGGCAGGACTGTGATCGTTACCGCTATGACGTAATTTATTTGGAAAGTGTAAATGGTGAGAATTACCAATGGTTTTACGCACAGTGCCAGAGCTTTGTGGTTCACTCCTACAGCAGTGTTTTATTAATCATCCACATATTTCTGGCTGAAACACACACATACATATTGTTGCACAATCTGAATTAGTTTAAGTTTCGATTTTGTAGTTTATATAACAAAACATACAAGACCCTACAATAATAATTTTACGCTGTCATGTTCAGAAACACAAGTCAGCAATAATCACAGAATGCAAGCATCACTTTCTGTCTGACCTGTTCGTGCACAACCTGTAATTTTTTGGCTGCAAACATATTAATATACATATTTAATAACAAGGCTCAACATTAGCCAGCAATCGGTCAGGATTCCAACGTGGTGCTGTCACTGATGAGGCGGCAGTTTTAAGTGGCTGTATCTGTAGTTGTTTTTACTTTTAAAACTTTATCCACAATTTTCCAACAATACAGTTTATGTGTACTGAGGTGATTTCATAGGCTTTTACTGCTTCTGTCCTAAAATTGAAAAAGAAGGTCCTGAATAACAAATTATGCTACGTCCTCGTGTCACTGGATGGCATAAAGATTTTTGAAAATTGGATGAGGTTATACAGGAGGCTTTCTAAAGCTCAATTAAAAAAACGACTGCTATTAAAACAAGGGCCTATTACACAACCACATTTCTAATTTTTCTCCACTATTTGACACATTTTTACTTCCTAAGAAAATTTTTAACATTTATTTCTCTTTAATACGAACTCACCGGACCCTGAGTGTCAAAGAACTTGCCAATGCTGTTCTTGAGCTTGTTGAACAGCATGGGATACAGAGCTGGACTGAGCTCCAATCCAAGGAGATCCTTAACATTGGTGCGAACATGGAGGCCCACCCTGTCGTGGCCACAAACCAGCAGAGCCAGCAGCCGGTCCAGGAAGCGGCTCACAGGTGTCTCACTCGAGGCCGAAGAGCAAGAGGAGGTCATGAGGTTGGACACCTCACAAGGGCCCATAGAGATCATGGAGTGTTTACGCTCGGTCATGGAACCCATAGGTGGACTGTATGTGGGTGGGCCTGGGGTGCTGCGCTGCTGGAGGCACACACCGCCCAGAGCACACAGAAATCCTGTCATGTTGATCCACTCCTGCTGCAGGGGGATACAAAGACACTGAGGCCCAGTGGCACAACACCAGGTAAGCTATTTGTTACAAGTCTGCATTCAGTAATATCTCTGTTCATATTGCATTGTCTCAAAACAAAAATTCACATCAACAGCAACAAACAGGTCACCAAATCTTAGTTTGACTAATCAGAATTCTTTGAGACTGTTTTAATGATTGTAATGTTTAGGATTATAATTCAGTTTCCAAAATAAATAAGCTTCTAAAGATGACTGAATATAACACAATAGTGGACTTGCAATCAGGTAGAATTCAGAGCTGGTAAATAATCCATACCTGCTAAAAACTGGTGTCCTCTGCTACTGCCTCACTAGCAGTGCTCTTATATTTTATCTTAGTATTTTGTGCTTTCAGGTAAAACTAAGTCTGGTACTCCCAGCAAAGATGTGATACATAGAGACGGTAACTTCACATTTCCCTATACCTTACCTGTCCATCATCTGCCTTGTTTTTGGGAAAGTTGAGAATCTGTTTGGTGGCCTGGTCCCATTTAGCGTATGTGTCCTCCCAAGCCTACAACATTAACAAATTGTAAATTTGAGATCTGAAGATATTGTATAAATCAACCAAGAAGTCACCAGGGAAGGGTGATTACAAAAATAACAAAAAGCACATCAGTAGCCCTGAAAATGAATGTAAATTGAATGTTACTTCAATATTTCCTGGCGTAGGATGCTCTATCCTCCTCAACAAAGCCATCACCCTCTTCTGCAAGGTGGAGCGGCCTATGGAATTAAGAACAAAGCCTTCATTTAAAGACTTCTATTTTGGGATCTACAGACAATATAAACAGAAAACAATGACATCTAGATATTCCTAGTAAAGCAGGATCTAAAAAACTACTAAATCACAGTGTGTGCCTATTGTTTAGACCCTGCTTTTGCATTTTGGCTTAGTTTTTGATAAATGATGTCATATTGCGATACAGTACTGTGCAAGAGTCTTGCATCAATTTCATTTCTTGATATTTTACTTCCAAGAAATAAGAGGGTTCTTTTGAGTGGTCCTCAGCAATAGTTCTCCAGGATTTTGTAAGGTCTTTCAATGACTTTCTTTAGACACTGACTGCTTTTTTTGCTGATTTCAGTCCACTTATATCTGAGTGTTTTCACTGGAATGTTTTTCTTTTGTTGTTTGTTTTCTTTTTGTTTGTTAAGCCATATAACACTGACGCATAGAACAACCAAGGATGAAAAAAAGCCACATAACTCAGCAGACAACTTAGCCAAAAACATTTTTCTATTATCTTTAGGCACTTTACTACTTGCAGCCTGTCATAAAATTTGTTCTTTATTTAAAAATAGCAAAGATAACACAGTTTGCTAACTACAAAAACTGAATTTTCACATCACAAAGGTGATTCTCACAGAGATTAAAAATTAGAATGTGTGCAGATTGTTCTTACAAAAATGTAAAGAAACTGAACAAGTGGAGGATAGATGAAGTGGTAGGTCTAAAAAGGTATGCCAAATTACATAAGAACTGAACTCAAAATCAAATGATGATTCTAAATATGAAACTTTTTGGTTTAATATTTATGTGAATCCTATTTGGATGCTTTTCTCGGCTTGAGTGAATTGTCTGACACACACTGGCTGCTGAGGACACACTTTGTATTTTGCTTGATTGAGCATGCATCAAAACGTGTTTTCCGTTTATTTTTTTGTTTGTTTTGGGCATCAAAGCAAAATCATTTACAATTTATTCATGTGAAAAGATTCATTAGATGGCATGAAGCCAAACTGGAGGATTACTTCTAGCTAAGGTACAGGCAACATACTTACCCGTTCCCATCATGTTGCTGACAGATGCCAGTTCACTGAAAGTCATATAGTTGGGCAGGATTGTCTGAACGGGCACCTCGTCAGCAGCACTGCGGATATCAGCTTCCTCACACAGGTGGCGAAAACAAGACATGGCCACCAGAACAGCTTCGGTGTCTGGGCTCCACAAGAACATGTAGAGGCACACCTCTAGCTTTGTCTGTGCCTGCCGACAGATGGGGATGCCACCACCCATGGTGGCACATTCCTGAAAATAGCAAGTAACATCCTGATTATACCCACCTTGTGGGACATCACATCATCACCCTTCCTGGTTCTAAGCCAATGAAACACATCTCGCAAGGACTAGACTGATCACTGGGGCATACACCAGAGTAATGTGCGTAAATAAATGGGGCTGCACCTTGTTTTTGAGCAAAAACTTGTTCCTGCAGATGAGAATCTCCCTCAGCCATTTCAGAACCTCTGTCCCATTAACAATTAGCTGACCGATGAGTTTGCGGCAAATTAGGAAGAGCACCTGTGAACTGAAAAGAAGAACATAAACAAGCGGTCCTGTAAATTTCAATGTTTATAACATCAACTGAGTATGTGCTGCTTTTTTTACACTATAACAACATAAAAGCACCTTTCAGAAATGCACATCTTTCCATTATTTTCCATTAATTCCATTAACAGTATCTGAAACTGTCGACTTCATATATAAATAAGTACTAAATGGTCATTTTTGAGGAAAAGTTCCAACGAACATACTGAGTCCAACCTACTTGTGTACACTCAATTTATTAGTTATACCTGCTGAACTGCTTATTAGCACAAATATCTAATCATCCAATCACATGAAAGCAACTCAATGCATTTAGGGTCATACTGTGACGGATCATCATCATATCTCATTACCTGTAATATTTTCATTTAAGCTGTCCTGACTTAATTCACCAGTTCTAAAAAGATTAAAAGGGGCTATAGAGTCCCAATCAAAAGTTTTAGACCACTTGAAAAATAGCAAAAAAATCATTTGTTGCATGGTTGGATCTGAACAAGATTCCAAGTAGAGCTTCAAAATCCAACAAGAAGAAATGGGAGTGAGACAAAGCATTTTTTGGAGCATGCAATTTATTGCAAACAAGACTTCAACTGAAACAGGCCATTTTACAAGCTGATGAAAGGTTTAGGACCACACCTCTAAAAAACCCTGTAGACCCCCCAAATCAGAAATCAAAATTCCAAACATGAACTCGGTAATGAATAGCTCCACCGTTATTGTTGATCACTGCAAATTTTGTTGCAGGAATCCTTGATGCAAACATTTACATGAGGTAGGTGGGAACATTTCTCCAAGTGGTGAAGACGGGTGCACGAAGGGAATCTACTGTCTGGAACTGTTGTCCATTTTTGTAAACTTCCCTTGCCAGCTATCCCCAAAGGTTCTCAGTTGCATTGTAGATTGGGGGAACATGCAGGATGGTCCAAAAGAGTGATGGTATTGTCCTGGAAGAAGTCCCTTGTCCTGTGGGCATTGTGTACTGTAGTTGTTACCACACAGACCTGGGCCCTCAGTCATGAGGGATGTTCTCTGCAACATCTGGACATAGCCAGCGGCCGTTTGACGACCCTGTACCTCTTGTGCTGCCCCCTCCACTGTGGTGGGTAGAAAGCAGCTCAGGTGGGATCTGCTTGTCATGCCAGTAACATTGGAAACAATCAGGACCATCGAAGTAAAAAGATTTTCACATCAGAGAATAAAACTTTCTTCCACCTTCCAATGTCCCATGTTTGGTGCTCTCTTGCAAAGTCCAACAGGTCAGTTCTGTGGCGTTTAAGGAGACGTTTTTTGTTTTTGAAGCCCTTCAGTCTTAGATGCCACCTGCTGATTGTGGGGCTGCCTTCAGCACCAGTAACAGCCTTAATTTGGGTTGAGGATCATCCAGTGTCTTGACAGACCCTCTCGCTCAGTGCTGGTGAAATTTTTGGGGGTCTTCCACTTGACTTTTTTGTTCCATAACCATCAGGATTCATTTAAGAAATCCTAAATTACTGTTTTGCTGCGTCCCACCTCAGCAGCGATGGTGTGTTGCGAGAGACCCTGCTTATGCAGTTCAACAACCCGACCACGTTCAAAAAGGGAAAGCTTCTTTGCCTTTGCCATCAGAACCTCATGACAGTGTGACTACTGGACAGAAGATGACAATGAATCCACATTTTTGCAAAACCTTTGATCAGCTGTTTCAGTTTAAGCTTTGCACGCTCAAAAAAATGTTTTGTCTCACTCCCATTTCCTCTTGTTGCATGTTCAAGTTCGACTTGGAACCTTTTTATCATTCAACCATGCAAAATATGATTTTTTTTTGCAATTTTTCAAGTGGTCTCAAACTTTTTATTGGGACTCTACTTTGTTTTATACTCTATGCCCCAGCATAGACTAGACATAATAATGTCCAAGAAGTTCCTGGCTTCAATGTCAAAATATCTTCTAAAACATATTCAGCGGATGGATGTAATATTGTTTGTGTTATGAAATAAAAACAAATTCACTAAAAGGCAAGAAAATGAGTCACAACCCTTTGGGACATTGCTGAGTCTTGATGGGAATGATCAAATTTAAGATCTCTAGCTTCTTCATGAAAGATAAGACTGTTGTACCTAATGTCCCAAAATGTCTCTATGGGGGCATCAGGATTCCACAGCTCTATGTTCTCTGGTTGGTGCAGAACTAACAAAGCCTGGAAATCAAAAGAGCAAGAGGAAGGAGATTTTAGACTTAAGAGAAAGAACCAGGAAGAGGTAAAGATTAACAATCAAAAATAAAAAGATCAGTTCCTATCTCTATTATAATAACTTGCATAAGAAATTTACCACAATTCCAGAGACCGTGAGACTGTGTAAAATTTGAGACAAACCTCAAGAGATATCATCACTTTGGGTCAGAACTTTCAGAAAAAAGTATTTTTGAAATTGTTCTTTAGCCTTAAGCTGAATAAATAGCTTGAGCTGTGTGATCATATAAGTTCAACTAGCTCTTTCATTGTTTTTTCCTGTTTTATTTGTTTGTGTTTTCCACAGAACATATAAAACACTTTCTTAAATTGAAATAGGAGACAACAGCAATAATCAGTTGTCTCTAGTGAATTCTTGCTCCCACAGATGGATTCCACCTCTACAATCTTTGAATGGAGTTGTAGTTGGAGTCCTTGTTCTGCAGCTCAGCAAATCCCCGCAGCAGAACAAGAGCACCACGGCCAACTACAGTCAACAACTATGAAGTTGGTGTCTGTCTAACAGCAAGACAACAGACTTTAGAGAGAGAGAGCCGAATGGTATTAGGGATAGCAAAGTCCTGCTCAGCCTACCGACTGGCTAATAGCTGGATGTTATTAGTCATGTGAACATTCACATGTGTAAAACTGAAAGGAGTTTTTTCCCTTTTATTCCTGCTTTTCATTTTAAATATCTGTAGGAAGTGCACCGAGCATTGAGCATTGGACTCTGACCTCCATGGCTTCTTGTGAGAGCTGGGTACTGTTGGTTAGCGGCACCAGCTGCACAAGGCCAGTGATGAGCTCTGCTGTGCTGCTCTGCATCTCTGGAGCTTGTTTCACTGGATTCTGATACACAACGACACAAACAAAAATATGAGCATACTTGCAAAATATTGAAGTCGAAAGATATTTTTGTACCAGTTTAAACAAAGAAAAATATCAGTTGTTTCTAGCTGATAAGACAGTCCAACATAAATGTAGAGGGACTCACATGCAACATGAGTTTGGGGTCGGCATGGATGAGTTTAACCAGAGCAAGGAGGAGGCACTTGTAACTTCGAGTGTCCAAATCTGTGGCTTTCTCTTTGAACTTAAGGCTGGTGGTTTTCTTTCCAATAAATGTTAGACTCTGTAGCAGGCAGAGAGAGAGAAAAGACAATATAGCAGTAACTAGTAGCCAAGTGTAATTATATACATGTATAATTATATTGCAGAGTTGACTCTTTATTGTAATAGTACAGTTTGTCTTTTGCCATGTTTAGTTGAGGCATGCTTTCTCTGACCTTCAGACAAGTTTGTTTAAATAAGTAAAACAGTTTACAATATCCTTATGCCTTCTCACCGGAGTCATGCGTAGGGGGGCATGTGTGCCAGTGCCTTGGGTTACACGGTTGAGGGTGTCTGAGAACATGAAGCGAAGCTCTCCAGAGTGGCAGTATACTGCATCAATCTTAGGCCACCAGTCCAGGTGGGACTGAAATAAAACACAGGACAAGAGATGACAAGTAAGTCACAGAACACTTCAAACTGTTGCAGGACCACTGATGTATGAGCCTATGCAAACTTACATTGTTGATTATTCTATGTAACGAGTTGACCAGGACAAAGTGAAAGGTGGAAGGGGATGACGAGGCCAGGCAGACCTATAAGACAAAGAGGAAGCACCCCGAGATTTACAGGAAACTTCTCATGTCATGCACCTTCAAACAAAGGTTAACATGGCATACAAGAAAATGAATATCACTTTTTTCCTGTCTACCTTAAAGTGCTGGTTGTTGTGAGGGTTAATGCGGAAACAGGACACAAAGCAATCCATCATGAGCTCCACATCAGCATTCTGACTGCCCGTTCCCCTCCAGAAGGGTTTGGCTGGGTTGAACAGCAGAGCCTGATGAAACACAGTCACTTGATGTCATTCACAAGCACATTTCTACAAAGACAAACTTCATCACAACGTCCTTATAGATAAATATAATAAAGGGACCAGTTACAGCAGTTACAAATACTGTTATATACAAAACGTATAATATGTATAACATATGTAATAATAATGAATGAAGTAATATCGTTCAAAGCCTTTGGATGTTCTTTAAAGTCCGATCTGCATAATGATTGTTTAAGGATTGTCCTGAAAAACAGTAAAAGCCAACTGACTTGGAGCAAAGGCTGAGAAGGGGAACTGTCCTCAGCATCGCAACAGAGATGAAAATAAGACACACACACAATGCATTAACCTGCCTACTAACACACACACAGACAGCCAATGAAGACCAGCTTACACTCGTAATCATAGTCATATAGTTCATCAGTGTGAAACACGCTTACTAACAAATACCGAGTTCATCCGTTTCAGTGCCACCAATCAGTGATCCGTCAATAAACTTGGTGGTTAATACAAGTGTAAAATGCTTGCAATATGAAGGCACTGATCTTTTATTTGGATCTTTCAAACATGCATTTCTGTTATCATGCTGTCCTGTCAACTTGCAGGGTTAAGATTTGACATGTAAACTAACCGAGTGTCATCATGTCAGGGGAACATAAAATAAAACACCAGTGAACAGAATGTTGCAGATGGTTAAATGTGACTCAGATCCACCGCTGTATGCATGTGAGTGGAGACTCAAACAAACTGCTGTTATTCCTGCTTCTGATGAACTGGTGAAGCTTGCACACCAACACACACACACCTTATATACCATCTCATCCATATATAAGATTTTTATGTTTGTTTAAGTGTAACACTGAGGGCTGTGGAAGCCCAGCAATTTCAAATTCCTGTGTATGATCTGTATGTATAGTTTTTGACATTGAAGCTAAATTTGACTTTGATTACATGGGAACAAACTTGCTACATGTAACAGCACATGGGAAGGGAGCTAATGAGCAGTTCGAGAGAGAAAAAACAGTGTCTATTTGACAAAAGATAAGTGTACAGCCAGGGTAATTCTCACTGAACTGATTTTATAGGCTACATGACGGCATTTCACGCGTTTCTCTTTCAAAGACTGAACAAAACGATTGGGGCTGCGGCTAACATAAATGCAACAGTACAAACAGTTGAAAGAAACTGACGTTCCAGGGGTAAAACATCGCAAATTAGGTGTTCAGGAAGCATCTAACAACAAATGTTTGTGTTGCAAACAACCGCCACACCATATTGCCAGTTTCACCAAGCAAATACATTGCTGTGTTGAGGCCTAAACCAGGCCCCAACACTTTTTAACGGTGGACTTAAAGAAACCTGTCAGGTTTTATCCCTCTGGAGGGGTCCACATTTTTTGATCGGTCGATGATTTAATAATCTGTTCTCCTTTTAAGTGGGCTTGTGAGATTGAAACTAAAGGGCTATAAAATACCTCACTAAGAACAGCCCGAAGTGAGCTTCAGAGAAACTCACCTTTCTGGGACACATGTTCACACCACATGGTCAGACCCTCTGTCTAAAAAGGATTGCAGTGATCCAACCCATTCCAAAGTCACAAAGATTTTTATTTATTTATTTATTTTATTGATGTATTTATGTATTCATTGTTTGTCTTTTGGAATGAATGTAACTGGAGCCTCGTCGTCTCGTCTCTCTATAAACTGTACTGCATACAGCAGAAATAACAATAAAGTTTGACTTTTTGCTATGACATCATATGTATGTCATATACATGCTGCCGAGAGGCTCCATCATCAGCAATGATACATCGGAGGGGAATGACTGGACATGATAGACTAAAAGAATGACAAGACCAGCAGGCCCACCTCCACCTCCACCAATCTTTTATCTGCCACATTCTGTGTCACGGATCGCACTGAGAATAAACTATATTTACTAGCTGCTTCTTGGTTTTGGCATCACACTGTATTATTGAAAAATGCCAAATATCACAGTGAAAAAATGTACTGTTTTAAACCCAGCATCACTTCTCCCCACAGCAGCAAATGATGAACCACATGATTTTATAGCAGCCATTTCTGGAATCTGTTCACCCAGACCTGACCTACAGGGTGCACTGCTGGCTAACTTTAATCTGAAGGTTTTTGTGGACGATTTGGCATAACGCAGCCCAGACACCAGTGAAAAAGTAGGATGTGCACAGAACATCTTGGAATTAGGCTCTTTACCATATTGCTATTCAGCTTAAGTTGCTGAGCTTGTAGCATTAGAACAAGCAAGTGAAATCACTTAAGATCAGTCACCATTTACACTGACTCTACATAAACACACAGGGTGATATAAGATACATTTTGTCACATGGAAATAAAAGTTTTTAACTGATTCAGGTAAATCCATTGCACATCACAAAAAAGCTGCATTTCTGGATGCTTGATTACTCCCATAAACTGCAGCTGTTTGTAAATGTGAAGTTTATAAAACTTCAAAAATTCTCTTTCTCTAGGCAACTATAGCGTGGAGACAGTGGTAGAGCCAGCACCTAAACAAAATCTGGAACCAGACCACAGCATTAACACTAACTTCATCTCCTAACAACAATTTACAGGCTACTCAGAGCAAAACATATGTACCCAACCTTTCTTTTCCTTTCACTCTCCTCATTATGCTAAATTGACACATGAGAAGGAAAAGGCGGGATGGTACAACAAATACAGCTACACAAGCAGAACAAATTTTACTTTACAAATGGGTTTGTTTGTTTTTTTGCAATTTTTCTATGATTTGTGTAACTAACAATCCATGTACAGGTATAAAAACTGCAGGTAGTACATCTATGCCTACATAAGCCTTTTTTTGTGGCTGCCGTCAGCAGCAGTCGGGGTATGCAATTTGTATTCTATGTGTTGGTATGAAAACAAGATGTTTATTTGTGACAGATCTGTCGAGTTTATGTTAGTCATGTGCAATACAGAATGTGTTGACATTTTGTAAAGGTTAAATTAAGAACTGTAAAAGGTCAAATTGTGAATGTCTTTTTCATGTTGAATAACATGCTTTATTGTTTATTCTCTATGAAAATTGATTATTTTATGTTGTTTTGTACAGTTCTCAACGCATCATTGGTGGCACCTGTGTCCACTAAATGCCAGAAGAAATCAAGAATGCCATGTGTCCGTTATTCAGCTTGGAGGGAGTTACAGTGAGAACTCAGTACGCTCGACATGAGGCGAGGAGACGAGGCGCTGTGCCTGCTGTCCACTGAGCAGCAAAGAAATCTGAAGATTCATCACACTCTAAAATCAGACAGATAAGACTGTGCATACGCCAGTAACCTGAGCAGCAAGCAGTTTGAACTTTTACATGGATGCTCAGACAAGTGACACGTTTAAAACAAGTTAAATATTAGGAAGAGGATCAACTTTGTTAAATACTTTGAAGGGCAACCGCAAGAACTAAAACTTGAAGTAATCTGGTGCTCTGCACATTTTTTCTAAGATCAAGGTTTTGTCCATTTAAGATTTTGATAGGTGAAGTCATTTTACATATTTATGTTATTTGGATGCTAGAAGTGTTAAAGTCTCACAACAAAAATACAGAGTGGATAAATTACATTTATTAGAAACAGGAAAGATTAACTAATTCTTCTAGACATCGACTCAAAGCTGTATGAGAGCAAATAGATGCGACTAGTCTCATGACTTGGCAAAACATAATCGCTTAAACTCTACGCGCGAATCTGATATTTTTGGAGGGTTTTCCTTTGTATTATTACTGATATTTTTCGCTGAGAATGTCTGATTAAAAATAACCAAATAGACTGAAATGTGATGGAAAATATGTACTTTACCTCATCAAACCACTATGTACTATTGATATGTAATTATAACTTTATTGTACAAAGAAGGAGTGAATGAAGACAGGAAAACAACTGACTGTAAACTTTGCTCAAGGGCATGACACACTTCATTATCTAGCTGGTGCCTACATGATGGTGAGAATTTCCCTCCCAACCACTGAATAGACAAAGACTGTATCCAGACAATGGCTATAAAGAAGCTGCTATAATTTTGCCTTTTGGTCAATGCTGGTACAAATTCTGTATATTGATCCTTTTGCAAAGTTTTGAACTTTCTTTCAATAAATCTCAGAAAATCAGTTTGGTTTCGATGCTCAAACTATTTTTCCCAAAATATGTACACCCATTTAGAAACATATTTGAGTGATAACTTATGTCCAGTATGTAGGCACGATGTGTGCGTTCATCTTTGATGTGTAAAGATTCATTACTATTCGCTATGTAATAATAAACAGTATTAACACAACCTAAGATTGAACAAACAGGATGAATGCTTTTCAGAAAGTGGTCAGACCTTGAGATCCATGACAATGGACTGGACCAGGAGGAAAATGGTGGAATGATCTTCCCAGTTGATGTAAGTAGAGGCTTTACAAAGTTTGACACAGGCAATGGCAGCACTCTCCATCAGCTGTTTGCTTCCACCTTGCCCTGCTAAAGCTTTCCGTAAACTGTCCAGAAAAAGTTTCTGCAGATACAAAATGACAGAAAAGTGTGTGTGTAATTAAAATGTGACTGGAATCAAACTCTGTTTTATCTCTGTGTGTTCTTCTGTCACACCTTGTTAGCCTTGCTTTCTTCCACTGTGTCTTTGGAGATTGTGTGTGTAATCTCTGGACAGAGTATGAGGAGGATTATCTGCAGTGGCCACACTGCTGCCTTCCTCTTGGTACTCTCTGCAAAACTGTCCACCAGGTCAAACAACTTCTCTGCAGCTTCTGTACAAAGACATAAATACACACATTTAATGCCAGGAACATTGCCAGTCAATTTTTTTTAAGCCACTATCATGTATGTTAAATTTGAAATTAAACATGTACAGCTGACAATATTTTTCATTACTTATATATTCTAGAGCAGCAGTCTCCAACCTTTTTTGCGCCACGGACCAGTTTATGCCCGACAATATTTTCATGGACCGGCCTTTAAGGTGTCGATGATTAATTACAACAAAATAAAACTAGTACCGGTACCGAAAAAAAGAAAATTTATTCATAACACACGTGAAAAGACCCAGGAAAACCAAGTTAACGATAAAAACGATAACAAAATAACGCTGAAAACCGATAAAAACCCTGAAAACTATACATTTCACACCTGAGCCTCAACTCTCGCGGCCCGGTACCAAACGACTCACGGACCGGGACCGGTCCGAGGCCCGGGGGTTGGGGACCGCTGATGTAGAACATTAGAAAAACATCTAGAAAATTAAAAGAATCTTTTGATGGCTATTGAACTACTCTTCAACTACTTCTACTACTTACAAAGGGACCTGTCATCTTTTACTGCTGTTACTGTTTCCATTCAACCATCAGCTGAACCAGCAGTAGTAGTGATGTCACTTGTAGAATGCCATTCAAAAACTTTTATTGTTCTTACTGATTATTTTAAACATATATCGCTGGAGAGAATAGACCATTTCTACAGTACATCAAATGTGCCATCAGTATATTCAAACACTGCCAATGCATACAGTACCACTGCACACGCTCTGTACCACTTACTAAGCAGGCATGGAAGCTTTTTCTCTAACAGACTAAATCAGCTCAGCTGCTACAAGATAGCTGTTTGATATTGTCTGTGTGTGTGTTTCATTATTACTATTACTAAAAACAGTTGTAATAATACACAATCATATCAACCGTTCTAACAAAATAACTTCCCAGATATGGGGGTAATTATTTCTTCTCCATCATCTTATATATTAATATTATATTTAACTCTTTTCATACCTGCCATATCTGACTGTGGTCGCTGGTACAGCATGGTGAACTCATCTGGGTAACACTCCACCCAGTTCCAAAATGCCTGAAAAAAAGAAAAAGACGTGTCACATTTGCATTATTCACTGATATCATGCTTAAAATTATTTTGCACTTTTACAAAGAGAAAAAATTACCTTCTCTAAACTGCTGATGACTGCAAGCTGGGCAGGCTTCTTTAGAGCTCTGAACTTCATTACAGTTTCTAAGAGAAGAAAGCCAAACAGAATTTTTTCTTTAACATCTCTATTTCATAATTTCTCAATAAAAAACTAATTTTATTCTTCTAATAATTCCGTAGTCTGTTTACAAATAGTATAGCCCCAAATGTAAACCTGTAAGTGCATTAGAAACGAACCTTGTAACAGCCTCTTCAGCTTAGAGCAGTCCACATTGATGTACTGCATGAGCTCTATGTCATGAACATCAACGTTATCCTCTGAGCAGACGGTCAGCTCTTGAAGCCTGAAAAGACAAGGAGTGAATTCTGCTGTTCAGCAGTTACAAACAACAAGGCATAAAGAAAAGAGAGCCTAAAACATTAATCTGGAAATCAGAGGTACTCTCTGCTGACCAAATAACTGAATATTCATTATTCATACTACAGCATAACCCTATAATATTATAGGAATGGACCCTATGCCAGTAAAACTCAATTTGATATAATAATCATATTAAAAAAGAACTATAAAAATTTCATGAGTTATCAACTATATTCAGCAAATGTGTGATACATGACACATATCCCATAATTTGTAAATGCTCCACATCTTGAAATAAATCAAGACTCGGATAAATCCAGACTAGTTTACCCTGCCCAGGATAAGGTTACCAGCCCCCCACCCTGAACCCACGTCTTAGGAGGGCGCTTGAAGGAGAGACCTGGTGGCCGGGCCCAAGTCTCAGGAGGAAACATCAAGAGCAGACCCTGAAGAGTCAAAGACGGAGGTCCTGCCAATCTGAATCTTGGCTAAAGTATAGTTCAAGGACCTCCACAACCCCACTGACACATCTTCCATAGAGGAAGCAGAGTTAAGAACGAGGCGGACAATTGACTTGGGGGTAAGGTTATTGAGGTAGTTGAACAATTCTCTGGTGGCAGGACCTCTAGAGTGGATGAGATTCACCCCAAGTTTCTCGAAGCCACGGTTGTCTTGGCTGACACACCTCTGCAGCTGCACCCCTGGATAGGCATTCAGTCCGATCTTTAAGATGGGGATGGGGGTGTGTGTTCCAAATATAGAGGGATAACACTCCTCAGCTTTTGGGCAGACCTATGGCAGGGTACTGGAAACGAGAGTTCATCCATTTATTGAACCTGGGATTCAGGAGGGACAATGAGGTTTCTGTCCTGGTGGTGGAACGCTAGATCAGCTCTTTATCCTCACAAGGATATTCAAGGGGGTGTGGAAGATTGAACGCAACCAGTCTACATGTGTTTTGTGGAGTTGGAGAAAGCATTCAACTGCAACCTTCGGGGTATCCTATGGGGGGTGTTTTGGGAATATGAGGGATAGCCATAGCCAGGTGATAAAAGGCCTCAGAATTTAATCTTTGCTTTTTGCAGATGATGTAGTTCTGTTGGTTTCATGTGCTCCAGTTTGGACTGGAGCGGTTCACAGCAAAGTTTGTAACAGTAGGAATGATATCTAGCACCTCCAAATTTGAGGCCATGGTCCTATGCCACTAAATGGTAGTGTGTCGACTCCACAGGATGAAATAAGATGCACCTGAGATCAATTTTGAATGTCATGGCAAGGGCTGTGATTAGTTATGCACAAGTTAGATTTTTGTTTTTTATTTTTAATACTTGTGCAAGAATTTCAAGCAAACATTTTTCACGTTGTTATCATGGAGTACTGTGCGTAAAATTGGGAGGTGAAAAATGACTTTATTCCATTTTGGAGAAAGTTTTTAACATGACATGAATGTGCAACAAGTGCTTTGAATACTTTCTGAATAAAGTATGCATGCACTACATTAAACCATTAGAAAGACAAAAGACACAGCAGAGAAAGCTTTCAACTCACTAAACTTTCAATCTGGTTCCAACCAAACACCAAGACACACTTAGATGATGCCCTTATGTGTACTGACTTAGAAATCATCTTAATAAATAATGAAAGTCACAGACCTCCACTGCACTATAATCCAGTACATCTTGACTTGAGAACATATACCAATAGGTCTGTATATAGTGTAAGGTTGCTTAGCCAAGGAGACTCACGAGTAAGTTTTTTCTGAGGTACCAGCCAGAAAAAAAAAATGGATTCAGTTTAAAATGCTAACCACACAAAGGATGTTTGTACATTTAAGACACAACACCCTAAACAGTGAATGAAAACAAACCCAATGCAATTTCCTATACACCAAGAAATATGTTCAACACTCACCCACAAAAACAATACAAAATGCCATTAACCAGTAAATTCATTCCACAAGGAGTCCATAACATCAGTAATAAGGAGTTGCTTGAGTTCACTCACAAAAGTGAAGACAAAAAACCAGAGTGGATTCCATATTAGATCTTCAGTTCATTCTTTGTTACTAAAAAAAGTTGCACAATCAAAACTCTACCTCAGGTTCTCCAATCCCCATGAAGCAAAACAAGGAAATGAGCCCAGCACATTCAATCAAAGTATCCTGAAGCTTTCATTCGTTTACTGTATTTCACACCCAAATAAGCTGCCACTGAGACCAACTAGGTTTAAACAGCTGGTCTGACTTACTGCACCAGAGTCAGTCTGGGTCATACTTCTGGCGATTCAGCATTTTATTTCAGTGGAGTGGCCCAAAAGAAGGCTAGCCCTACCGTGGATTTACTGGATATCGTGGATAAATGATGCAGAGTTTCAGCTGGAGGTTAATCTGACTGCTTCCTTTCTGGCGTCTTCCATCGCGAGTCCTGGCCCATAAAAAAGGAACATCTGTGTACAGTATAGTATACAGGAATATCTGTGTATGGCCTGGTAGTCCACAAGTCAAACTGGGACATTCCCCCTAGCGCGGCTGAGCATGACCAAGCTAAGATCATGTGTGACTTAAGAGATACAGACAGACAAACTGGTGACGGCTAACCATCGGGACATGGTAGTGGTGGACAAGCAGAAGAAGACGGCTGTAGCGACAGATAGCGACATTAGAGGAAAGGAAAACAAATAGCTCGAGAAATACCAAGGGCTGACAGAAGAGCTCAGAGAGACTTTTGGTCTCATCTGATCACACTATGTTCTCTCAGTATTTCACAAGCTTGTCTAAATGTTGTTCAAGAAAATTCTAAATGCGCTTCAACATTCTTTTTCTACAGCAATGGAGTCTTGCGTGGTGAGTGTGCATACAGGCCCTAGCGGTTGAGTGCATTACTTATTGTGTTCTTTGAGTGAGTAGGTTTGATATCTGTGTAACCAACTGTATCAAATATTTTCCTGTTAGATACTCCCTGCAACATTCTGCATACCCTTCTGTTTGTTGCTTGGTTTGTGGAGGCACTGATTTTTCTGGCTTATACCAAGCCAATATATATTACTTGTAGATGATTTATTTATCGACCGTCTTTCATAAAACATGGTTCTGATTGCATATTATTACTGTGTGTCGTGGTCATGTGGCTTTTGACAGGTGACATAAGATGGCACCGCTCTGTATTTCATTGTACAATGAAGAGTACATGTGCTCAAAACATGATACACTAGATGGAATAAGTAAGGAAATTTGAGGTTGAAAAGAACAAAGTTAATTCTTTTCCATGTTCATGTTTTTTTGGCCCTGGAGGAAGTGCGTGGCTTTTTTTCCCCCTGTTGTTGTCTTAGATTTATTTACCTTTAATTAAACCTCTCTGATAAGGATGAATAACAAATGGTATGATTTTATATAGTTCAGATGCAAAAGCTAAGAACTCAATAATTAGATTGCTGGGTGGGTTTAGTTTCACAAGCAGTGTGATGAAAGCTTGATTTATACTTGGTGGGATTCTCTAGGTGGTTTTAAAATCTAAAATTATTGTAATAAAATAAATAGCACTGTAGGTTCTATAACTTTCTGTAGTCCCGAATGGATGTCTACATGTTGAAAACAACAAGCACGATAAGTCCGGTTTTACGATAAAATCTAAATTTGGTATGACTACCTTTGTACTTCAATACAGCAAGAACAGCCTGAACTCTCTTGTTATTTATTTCTTTATTTATTTAGTCTTTAGGAATAGTTCCACAGGCTTTTTGAAGGATGTTACAAAGCTCTTCTTTGGGGTTTGGGCTTTGGCGAGGCCAAACACTGATAGTTTTCACTGTGCAATAATAGAGAGGCAAAAATAATTAATGGACCTAAATATAGCCTAGAGACTTACTGGACAAGATTCCCCAAAAAATTCTTTATTGTTGGCACGTTTATTGCCTGAAGCCCCAAGTCAGGGGATTACTAAGGATAATAATACAGGGTGCATTAAAAAGAATCATCTGGTTTCAAAGGCTTTATATTTTAAAGTAGTTCGCCTTGTAATCGGAAGGTTGCCGGTTCGAGCCCCGGCTCGGACAGTCTCAGTCGTTGTGTCCTTGGGCAAGACACTTCACCCGTTGCCTACTGGTGGTGGTCAGAGGGCCGGTGGCGCCAGTGTCCGGCAGCCTCGCCTCTGTCAGTGCCATCACCAGTGTGTGAATGGGTGGATGACTGGTTGTGTAAAGCGCTTTGGGGTCCTTAGGGACTAGTAAAGCGCTATACAAATGCAGGCCATTTACCAATGTCCACAAGTGCTCAATGTGTCCCTCTCTGGACCCATGCTATACAGTGGGGCAAAAAAGTATTTAGTCAGCCACCGATTGTGCAAGTTCCCCCACCTCCCACTTAAAATGATGACAGAGGTCAGTAATTTGCACCAGAGGTACACTTCAACTGTGAGAGACAGAATGTGAAAAAAAAATCCATGAATCCACATGGTAGGATTTGTAAAGAATTTATTCGTAAATCAGGGTGGCAAATAAGTATTTGGTCAATAACAAAAATACAACTCAATACTTTGTAACATAACCTTTGTTGGCAATAACAGAGGTCAAACGTTTACTATAGGTCTTTACCAGGTTTGCACACACAGTAGCTGGTATTTTGCCCATTCCTCCATGCAGATCTTCTCGAGAGCAGTGATGTTTTGGGGCTGTCGCCGAGCAACACGGACTTTCAACTCCCGCCACAGATTTTCTATGGGGTTGAGGTCTGGAGACTGGCTAGGCCACTCCAGGACTTTCAAATGCTTCTTACGGAGCCACTCCTTTGTTGCTCGGGCGGTGTGTTTTGGATCATTGTCATGTTGGAAGACCCAGCCTCGTTTCATCTTCAAAGTTCTCACTGATGGAAGGAGGTTTTGGCTCAAAATCTCACGATACATGGCCCCATTCATTCTGTCCTTAACACGGATCAGTCGTCCTGTCCCCTTGGCAGAAAAACAGCCCCATAGCATGATGTTTCCACCCCCATGCTTCACAGTAGGTATGGTGTTCTTGGGATGCAACTCAGTATTCTTCTTCCTCCAAACACGACGAGTTGAGTTTATACCAAAAAGTTCTACTTTGGTTTCATCTGACCACATGACATTCTCCCAATCCTCTGCTGTATCATCCATGTGCTCTCTGGCAAACTTCAGACGGGCCTGGACATGCACTGGCTTCAGCAGCGGAACACGTCTGGCACTGCGGGATTTGATTCCCTGCCGTTGTAGTGTGTTACTGATGGTGACCTTTGTTACTTTGGTCCCAGCTCTCTGCAGGTCATTCACCAGGTCCCCCCGTGTGGTTCTGGGATCTTTGCTCACCGTTCTCATGATCATTTTGACCCCACGGGATGAGATCTTGCGTGGAGCCCCAGATCGAGGGAGATTATCGGTGGTCTTGTATGTCTTCCATTTTCTGATGATTGCTCCCACAGTTGATTTTTTCACACCAAGCTGCTTGCCTATTGTAGATTCACTCTTCCCAGTCTGGTGCAGGTCTACAATACTTTTCCTGGTGTCCTTCGAAAGCTCTTTGGTCTTGGCCATGGCGAAGTTTGGAGTCTGACTGTTTGAGGCTGTGGACAGGTGTCTTTTATACAGATGATGAGTTCAAACAGGTGCCATTCATACAGGTAATGAGTGGGGGACAGAAAAGCTTCTTACAGAAGACGTTACAGGTCTGTGAGAGCCAGAGATTTTCCTTGTTTGAGGTGACCAAATACTTATTTTCCACCCTGATTTACGAATAAATTCTTTACAAATCCTACCATGTGAATTCATGGATTTTTTTTTCACATTCTGTCTCTCACAGTTGAAGTGTACCTCTGGTGCAAATTACTGACCTCTGTCATCATTTTAAGTGGGGGAACTTGCACAATCGGTGGCTGATTAAATACTTTTTTGCCCCACTGTATGTTTAAAGTATTTGTTGAGTCAAGTCAGAGAAGAGCCAAGGGCTCAGAGATGAGCTTGAGAAGATGTGGAGGGTGAAGTTAACAGTGGTCACATTAGTAATCGGAGCCCTAGGTGTCCGTCCCTGGTACTTCATTTACATCATCTACTAAATCTTCCAAGTGTACTTCACGTAGTCTTGGTAACCGGCTACAGAGGATCCAGGTTTCAAGCTTCGCCATGATCTTATCTTTTAGTTCAGTTCTTCAATCGCCCCCTACAGCTGTAGCATGAGTGTTGTACCTTGTGAATCTCTAGCCATGAGAGCAATCCTTTCTTCCGAATGTTAGAAAACAGAGCTACTAGTTGTTTCGCCGTTAATGTGGATGCTGGGTATCGAAGACTCCATAAGGCCCTCATCCTATTCATGTAACCCCTTCCGCAGGGGTTACTTGCATAGTAGCATTCAAATAGCGCTCTATTTTCGTCACTTGCCTACCGATGCCGTCTGGTTCCAGTAGCCCACTTCTAATCAGCATGCCCTGGTTCCTCGACACCTGATGCGGACCTTGTTAATCCAGGCGACTTCCGAGCCGGTATGGCTTCACATTTATCTCTGTCACTCATGTCTGCGGTAGGCTTGGTTAGCATGAGGGGTCTAGCCGTGTGTGTGTGTGTGTGTGTGTGCGTGTGCGTGTGTGTGTGTAGACACATTTTGCAATGACGCTTAAAACTGATCTCAGGTGCATTGTTTTCATTGATCATCTGTCAGATGCAATCAGATCAGATCATCTGCAACTTGATTGCAATCCACCTGGCATAAAGGTATAAATTCAGGCAACTGGACTTGGATTTAGAAAGACACGCCTGTGTATATAAAGTTCCCATTGGTGACAGTGTATGTGAGAGCACTAGCCAATCCATGATGTCAATCCATCCAATCCATGTCAAGCCTTCCAATCCATGATTATTCTGTTATGCAATATTATTTTTAATATGTCTACAAGAATTTCAAGGAATCTTTTTCACTTTGTCACAGGGCATTGTGTGTAAAATTTTGGAGAAAGTGCTGTGAATACTTGCACCGTATATATTGCTTAATTTTTTTATTAGACCTTCAAACAGTTTAGAAATCTGTCAAAGACACATTTGAAACTAATAATTATCTAATTCACTTAACTAAATTCACCCTTTTTTTTAAAAAAAATAAAAATTTAAGTAGGCACATTGGACTTCTTTGAGAAGTTAGAAATTCATTCAATTCATTAAAAGATTTGATATATTTTTTTCAACCTCAAACCCTCTAGGCCACTGGTCTATTTCTTTTCATTTTATATATTTACACAACAAATGACAGACTTAGGTGAATGTGCTACCTGGTCGAAATGCGGCTAAAAACAGCGCTGAAGTTGTTGGAGCTCAGAGAGAAGAGGACAGCCGAAGCTGAGGCTCGTAGCTCAGCAGCATGCTGGTGCTGGTGCCCCTCACGATACGTGTGAATGAAATGGCAGATCTCTGGCAGCAGCTGTTTGACCAGCATAGTTTCATCCAGACGCAAGCAGTCCTTGGATTGCTGAGAAGGGAAAACAAAGAGGAGGGCAATCAACAAAAGGGCTACATGATGTTTCAATGATGTGAAATGGCATTTTGATTGGGAAGCTATTTGAAATTACAAACACAGCCCTAGCACAAACTACTGAGAAGTACCAGGCTTCAGTCATTTTTGTGAAAGCCAAAGGTAAACCAATCCCAGGGTCATGGGGAGCAAGATTCATGAAAGAGAAGTGTACTTAGGGGTTTGTGTCTGCATGAGGGGAAACAGCAACAGAGACACTGAATAATTTCTGAGTTACACTACATAATAGTAGTAGAAATGGTAGTGATGGTGAAGCCTAAATTTGACGGACAACAACTTGCCACTATACCCCAGATATTCAATGTGTCTGTTACAGTTTCTACTCACACAAAGTCAAATCAAATCTTTGATGTTCTTGCACTATATACTATTACAACTAGAGCTGGGCGATATGAGATTTTTTCATATCACGATATGTTTTTTCATTTCAGGCGATAACCATATCTATCACGATATAAGCCAAATAACTATATTTGTAAGATTTAAATGTGCCGTTGCTCACAAGTAAAATGTGAAATAATCAGCAGCTTGTTTTTATTTAAATATTTATTTCCCATAATAAGTTCAACAGGGTAGATGTAATTAAGGAACATGAGACTTTTTCAGATAAATAAAGGCAAATATTGCAAACTACACAAAAGGCAGCCGCTAAAGAGTTTAAGTTTCAAAATAGAACAAACAAAGCAGACGACTAAATTGTCAATTCCACTTAGAAACAAAATATTAATTCTAAAAATAAATCTTAGTTTGTTTTACAGAAGAACAGACAAAATTGACTAACTTTTGTCAATATCAAATAAACTGAGAACTAAAAGGAAATTCTCAATCTCTCCTTGTTGTATAGCTTAGCTTTTCAAACAGTTTTAACAGTTACTTTAGTCTGACAAAAGCCGAATGACGAATTAGCGCTTCCAGTCAGAGACTGAGGCTACGTCCACGCGTACACGGGTATTTTTGAAAACGGAGATTTTCCGTTTTCGTTTTAAAAAATAATCCCGTCCACACATAAAGGCAGAAATGAAGGAAAACGCTGCTATGAACATGCCAAAGCAGCAGGTGGCGCTAGATTCCTAACCGTGCAGAAATGTTGGCCAATCAGAAGTCTAGAAGCCTCGGTGGGAAAAAGTAAACAAAGCTGGGGCATAGAAGCAGAACCGAGTCGTATGTGTGGACGGACAGTAACTGTGTGTATATGTAAGCATTTAAACACTGCAGAGAGTAGAATTAACAGTAACAGTATTGTAGAAATTCATTTCACCGAAACAATAACGTGGCGCACAGTGTGACGCATGCACCAGTTTATTGTATTTCCAGACTTGCTTTCGGCACAATTTACAGTGCACGCTACTCTGTTTTTTGTCAGACTTGAAATAGCCGAAATACCTTCACACTACGGAACTTCTATGGCTCTTCCGTTTGACAATCTCTCCGGCATTGGAACCATCATCTGTTTTCTCTTCGGTCACGCTCGGTTGATTTTTCTAGTCGGCACACTCATTTCCTCCATTACGCGCTGGCTCCATTACCCACTGGCTGCTTCCCAAACAAACACACGTGCGGCTTGGCACTTGTGCGTACGTAACAAGTCACGCGACGCGACGTGACGCTGCGGCTGTGATTGGTTCGGCTCTGCGCTACTTAATTTGGAATGGCTGACCTTTTTTTTTTTTTTTTTTTTTTTGAGGACAAGAGCGGCTAGGTCTATCGCGATAGCTTAATTTCTCTATCGAGTAAAAGTTATATCGCGATACATATCGTTATCGTTCTATCGCCCAGCTCTAATTACAACCATTTGCCCCCTTCCTGATTTCTTAGTTTGTCATATATTTCTCACATGTTTCAGGTCATCAAACAAAGTCTAATACTAGATAAAGATAAGCCAAGTAAATACAAAAAGCTCCTAAAGGATTTAATTTATTAAGGCAAAAAAAGTGCCCCAAACCTACATGGCCCTCGAATGTTGGCACTCTTAGCACCAAGAACTCCTAAAGAAATTGGTTGAAAAGTTTGACCCAATGTCTTGGTGTCATTGTGCTTCAGAGGGGTTTGTAGTTAACAACCTATGGTCTAGATTTAACACATAAGCACAAATCTCCTGTTAGATGGTAAGAAATTGATTTTCCTGTACTGACAAAGTCTGTAACTAGACTTATTACTCGAGCTTCTCCTTTGTTCTACAGCCAAATATTGCCGCAAGAGTCTAACAAGTGAATAGAGTATTCCAGTGATACAAAGTTATCCAGTGAACATCTTGACTTAAACAAACTAAACACATATTGCATTGGGGTGTAGTGGTTACAATATATTAAAATATATTAAAAGAACAACATTCATCTCTGAGATGAAGCCTAGTAGAGTAGAAGAAGTTATAAAATGATATTGAATGGAAGTGAATGTACTTCAAATTTTTACTGAAGCACAGTATATATCAACTGAGTTAACTTCTACCAATTCCACCGGTAATTTTAATAAAATATATTTAATGTGTTAAAATGAATGTAAGCTCTATTATATCTATATTATACAGTCAAAGTGAAATAAAGCAAGTCTCATGAACTACATTATCTACATTTTGCTGAACAAAGCTGCTGGTGTCACGGCTGCTATGCAGCAGGAGTGGCACTTCATAGGTTAGACTGTCTCATTTAATTGGCCCTCAAGATCACAAGCGTTACACTGTATTATAGTGCCATCTACTGACAAATTACGGAAAGAAAATTTCACTGTCAAGTCAATGTTGCCTTAGTTAGATATGGTCTTCAATAAGATGAGGTCACTTAGACATAACTAAGTTTGCTCAAGTGAATTTTTTTTCCCTGACAGAACAAAACCATATTGTGAGAGGGTAAAGCTCACCCCAGCCAGGCACTTCTTCAGGGTATCTAGAATGATGAGCTGAGAGAGGTAGAGGTTCTTCTCAGATGCTTCTCCAAATATCCGCTGTGAAGACAGGCACAGACATAACATCACTGAATTAGATCTTAAATCTTAGGGTGTTTTCATACCTATGCTTTTTAGTCTGCTTAAATCAAATTTTCATTCTTTTTTCTGCTGTTGTGAACTTAATTTTCGCAGATGTGAACACAGTAAATTCACTTAGGCGTAAGGCAAAAACAACCACACTGGGACCCTTTGGGGTGATCTCCGTCCAGTTCTGAACTCCAGAGTAATTACTTTATGGTGGTACGCCATAAAGTAATTACTCTAATGCAGACTTCTCCCACAACTCCACCCCGTGCTTCCTGCAGAAGTTCTGACAACTCTGCAATATTAGGCCTCATCACTGATGGGGACAACAGGGAGTACAGAGAACTGACCCAAGATTTTGTGGACTGGTGCCAGCAGAAATACCTCCAGATCAACACTAGAAAAACCAAGGAGCTGGTGGTAGACTTCCACAGGCACAGGTTGGGAGATTCTGACAGCACTGAGCAGCTCCCTCAGTGGCAGGCTGCTGCACCCACGATGTGGGACGGCGAGATTTCGCATGTCTCTCCTTCCTACAGCTGTCAGACTCTACAGCATGGTCTCTGCAGATGACCACACATGTGCAGACAGACACACATCCTGTACACAACTGTAACTGTCTCCCTGATGTGCAATATTACCAAAAGCAATTTACCTACTATAACAGAGCACTTTATTCTATTTTATAATAGTATTTTATTCTTGAGGAATAGTATGTTATTCTAGTTTATCTTATCATATTCTTTTGTGTTTTTCTTAAGTTTTACTGCTCTTAAACTTGTACTTTCTGCCATGACCAAAAGATTTCCCATGTGTGGGACTAATAAAGGTTTATCTTATCTTATGTGACAGAATCCCATAGAGCAGAGTGCATGAACTTTAGTAACTAGCCTTAAACTCAATCAAGGGTTAATCTGAGAAGCAACAAGGTTCAAATTCAAATTCAAATTTTATTTGTCACATACACAGTCATACACAGCACGATATGCAGTGAAATGCTTACACAACTGCTCGTGACCTAAAGAAAAATGAAAAGGCTATGAATAAGATAGGAAATAAATATGAAAAGGGTACATTTAACTAGGAAGGAATAAAATAAAATAAAAATATAAAAATTAAAGTTAAAAATGAAATAACTGTGTGGCTCCAGCAGATCCCGGGAATAACATCGGAGCTCTCTGTCCAGAAGGCTACTCCATTTTACTCTAGTTATGCAAATTGGAATGGTCAAGCAGAAAATGTTCTAAAAATTGCTGAAGAGATGGAAAGACCCAAATAAAACATCTTAAAAATTAACAATGCATTCAGACACGGTCAAGACAACCTTAAAGATTAACCTTAAAGTAGAGAGGTGATTTAACTTGTTGTTCCTAGAGTATTTAAAAGTAGAATGGGAGGCAGAGCCTTCAGTTTTCAGGCCCATCTTCTGTGGAACCAGCTTCCAGTTTGGATTCGGGAGACAGACACTATCTCTAATTTTAAGATTAGGCTTCAAACTTTCCTTTTTGCTAAAGCATATAATTAGGGCTGGACCAGGTGACCCTGAATCCTCCCTTAGTTATGCTGCAATAGACGTAGGCTGCCGGGGGATTCCCATGATGCATTGAGTTTTTCCTTTCCAGTCACCTTTCTCACTCACTATGTATTAATAGACCTCTCTGCATTGAATCATATCTGTTATTAACCTCTGTCTCTCTTCCACAGCATGTCTTCTATCCTGTCTTCCTTCTCTCACCCCAACCGGTCGCAGCAGATGGCCGCCCCTCCCTGAGCCTGGTTCTGCCGGAGGTTTCTTCCTGTTAAAAGGCAGTTTTTCCTTCCCACTGTCACCAAAGTGCTCATAAGGGGCCATATGATTGTTGGGTTTTTCTCTGTATCTATGAAGCGCCTTGAGGTGACTTTTGTTGTGATTTGGCGCTATATAAATAAAATTGAATTGAATTGAATTGAATTGAATTGAATTGAAGTGACTGTAAACAGTGTGCGGGCAGACAGGCTGAGTATTTCAGAAATCGGTGATCTACCAAGATTTTCGAACACAACTATCTAAAAGATCCTTAAATTGCTGTTGCCTCACAACAAGAAGGTCCTGAGTTAAAGTCCAGCACCTATAACTTGGAGGGAAGAAAAACAACACTAAAACTAAAAATCAGTTAAAGGGGATCACACGCGGGCTCTCCCTGACTGCAACAGTGACGAGGACATACTGTCCACCTTACTGTCTGTTTCTCATAAATGAGGACTGTATGGAGGAGAGGCTGTTTGAGCCAGGTGACAGGTGATTCACCGGACTGACAGAAACCGAATTTCCCTCCTTGGCCGAGTGTACATCCACATCACACCACAAACATAAAGTTTCTTTCCAAAGCACGATTGGGAATCCCATCAGCATGTCTGCAGGGAAAAGTAGGCCAATGTGTATGAAGAGGGGGTAAAAAGAAAAAGAAAAGAATCTGATGTTCTGAGGACAAGAATGCACACTTTTTGGAGATCTTTTGTTTTTTTCGCCACATTATTTCACTGATGACTGATCATCTCACTGATGATGTGGGGAAAAATAATTCCCCGTATGAAGTAAGTAAAACGACTTACTTCATATCAGAAGTGAGGAAAAGCGAATCCCAAATGTAATTGAAGGATATTGTAACATGGAGATTTCCTGCGGACATGCTGATGGATATTAGAATTTCCAATAGTCATCAGTAGGAAACAGTTTTTGGTGATATATAGTAACCTGTGATGTTGTACACTGTTTGGTTTTGCTTGGGAAAATAGAGAATATATTATTGCATAAAATAGCGCTGATTGCGTGTTGCAAACATCTGCTTGGCCAGCTGATTGCAAAGCTCTGTACAATCGGATTGGTGGGGAAAAGCAGGAAAGTTGGACTCTTGTCTGGTGACTCAGGCTCTACTCTACACAATCCTCATTTATAAAGTGCTTTACAAACTCGAATATTACAGCTAACAACTGGGTTTTCCTTTTTGAGTGCAGCTAGCTGAACAACAGACTGCCCCTTACTGCTAAAGACACAGAGAGTGAAAGTGGACAGTAAGCACATTTCTTAAGTCCAGCTTCACAGACAGTGTTACATCTATGTTGGTTCTTGAGAGTAGGGCTCAATGGTGTAAATTAGCCTTTCCATTTGTAGCGTTTTATGCCTCATTTAACCCTTTAAAGCCGGTTGGAGCGGGCACGCTCTGTTTTGCGTAACTATTTTTAAATCCCGGTAGCTCTGCAACCACGTAAGCTAGCACAATAATTTTTTTTGCATATGAAACCGGAGGAGTTGTACTTACATCTTATGCCATCAGCTTGTCCTAGGTCACAGTTTCCTTCCACATAAAGCTTTGCAAAAACTGCATAAAAAGCGCTTGCAGCAACAAAAACATAATATTCCAGAAACACACTCTGCTGATCCGATCAGCTGTTCATAACACTTCCTATGTTGGAATAGACGTCAGCACGAACTATTGCATGTCCACCATGACCTGCCCGAAACCGGAAGTGACGTCATTTTGCGGAATTGTAGTTTTTTTTTACCATCAGGGCCTCATGAGCCTATTCTGGTGTTTTTAAAAGTTTTCTTTGACTTTATGACTTTCTGTGTCGTTTCTGGGATGCTTCGGACTCATATTGCACTGCTGGAAATAGTTTATTTTGATGCATATGCTGCTTTTTTGCAAATTTGCATTATAATATTTATTTTCGTTTTTCCTGCAGTATATAAAAATTGGTGTATTTCAAAAATAAAACTATGAAGACACTCAAAATAAATTTCCTGTGGTAGGAAGCTACTTTGTGCAACTTTTTTGTATTTACAGTTTTGAGGGATAAGCCTCTTAAATTTCTCTAACTAGAAATATATGTTCCATCCATCCATTCGCTTCTGCTTATCCTTTTCAGGGTCGCGGGGGGCGCTGGAGCCTATCCCAGCTGTTGTAGGGCGAGAGGCGGGGTACACCCTGGATAGGTCGCCAGTCTGTCACAGGGCCAACACACAGGGACAGACAACCATTTGCAATCACATTCATTCACACATTCACACCTAGTGACAATTTGGATTATCCAATTAACCTATCCCCACAAGCTGCATGTCTTTGGACGGTGGGAGGAAGCCGGAGTACCCGGAGGGAACCCACGCAAACACGGGGAGAACATGCAAACTCCACACAGAAAGACCCCGGCCTGGTGTTGGAATTGAACTCAGGACCTTCTTGCTGTGCGGCAACGGTGCTAACCACCGTGCTGCCCGAGAGCAATATATGACATATATTTCTTCAATATATAAGAAATATATGTTAAAAAAACAAAAACGATTTTCAATTTTTTTGTAGTTTATTGCACTTTTTTGCAATTTATGTAATTACTATGCACTTAATGCAGGCATATTATTAGAATCTGGGCTATAATGGTTGTATTGATGTATAGCAACTTGAAATGCTCCCAAAAATGGCACTACAGCATGTAAAAATATAATATAAGCTCTGGCGGACTTGGTTCTATGGTAGGTCTTAAAGGGTTAAGTGTTGAACTGACCTCCAACCTGCCCCGATACAAGTCTGATAAAGCAGCCTTGCAGTTTACCACAACAAGCCTGATCAACACATGTCACATCCTGCAACATACATCAGCAATCTAAAAGATTTGTTTAAAGTGTGTGCATGTAACTATTATGACTAGGAGAGTAGAAAAATGCACTTACCATATTATTGACATTTTTGAGAATGGTGGTAAGACCACTGATGACAAGGGAGAACTTGTACTTGGAGATATTAATCAAACATTCCTTGTTGTGCTCTGTGCTGACTTTGGTGTGGGTGTTCTGGTGTCCAACTTTAATGGGAAGCTGAGAAAAAGAACAAAAAAAACCCATGAAATTAGAGGTGAGACATTCAGTAAATAAAATATTTCTGTCGTGGCCTGACTAAAAATTTAGAGAACACCGTTCACCTAGAACATTTTGGCAGGCTTAGCCTTTAAAGCTACACACTGTATGTTGTTTATCCATCCTGCATGATGTGCTATATACTCTTCTCATTTTAATTGCTTTCCTCTGGGATGCATTCATTTAGAGATCCTCTTGTTAAAATTATGTCTCTTTTTAAACTGCCCCTAAGCTATTGTCTGAAAACAATGGGCAACTGCTATAGTTGTTGACTACAGCTTCTACTTCTTGTGTTTCCTATCTTGGGTGCAGGTTATGGTTTACAGAACTATTACAGGGAGTGCAGAATTATTAGGCAAGTTGTATTTTTGAGGAATAATTTTATTATTGAACAACAACCATGTTCTCAATGAACCCAAAAAACTCATTAATATCAAAGCTGAATGTTTTTGGAAGTAGTTTTTAGTTTGTTTTTAGTTTTAGCTATTTTAGGGGGATATCTGTGTGTGCAGGTGACTATTACTGTGCATAATTATTAGACAACTTAACAAAAAACAAATGTATACCCATTTCAATTATTTATTTTTACCAGTGAAACCAATATAACATCTCCACATTCACAAATATACATTTCTGACATTCAAAAACAAAACAAAAACAAATCAGTGACCAATATAGCCACCTTTCTTTGCAAGGACACTCAAAAGCCTGCCATCCATGGATTCTGTCAGTGTTTTGATCTGTTCACCATCAACATTGCGTGCAGCAGCAACCACAGCCTCCCAGACACTGTTCAGAGAGGTGTACTGTTTTCCCTCCTTGTAAATCTCACATTTGATGATGGACCACAGGTTCTCAATGGGGTCCAGATCAGGTGAACAAGGAGGCCATGTCATTAGTTTTTCTTCTTTTATACCCTTTCTTGCCAGCCACGCTGTGGAGTACTTGGACGCGTGTGATGGAGCATTGTCCTGCATGAAAATCATGTTTTTCTTGAAGGATGCAGACTTCTTCCTGTACCACTGCTTGAAGAAGGTGTCTTCCAGAAACTGGCAGTAGGACTGGGAGTTGAGCTTGACTCCATCCTCAATCCGAAAAGGCCCCACAAGCTCATCTTTGATGATACCAGCCCAAACCAGTACTCCACCTCCACCTTGCTGGCGTCTGAGTCGGACTGGAGCTCTCTGCCCTTTACCAATCCAGCCACGGGCCCATCCATCTGGCCCATCAAGACTCACTCTCATTTCATCAGTCCATAAAACCTTAGAAAAACCAGTCTTGAGATATTTCTTGGCCCAGTCTTGACGTTTCAGCTTGTGTGTCTTGTTCAGTGGTGGTCGTCTTTCAGCCTTTCTTACCTTGGCCATGTCTCTGAGTATTGCACACCTTGTGCTTTTGGGCACTCCAGTGATGTTGCAGCTCTGAAATATGGCCAAACTGGTGGCATTTGCCTAATAATTCTGCACTCCCTGTATGTATGCTTATAAATATAAAATGTATCACCTTTTTGTTCATCGTTATAATTATCAAGACCAACATTAACAAAAAAACTATTGTCAGATATCCAAGATTGACCCAAGACTGCATTTCTGCCAAACTCCTCTTTTGCTCCGACCATGGTCTTTTTAGTTGCATCCAGTAATGAACTGTTCAAACATGATTATTGTAATAAGGGCATCATGGATATTCACTTTTACAATTTTTTTTTAATATTCATGTATTTATTTTCTTATTTATAGGAAATAAAACAAATACAATCAAAATAATAAACAGTTTTTAAAAGACTTTGTATATCGCCTTGGTACAGATTTCTATCAAACTTCCAAATGTAAATGAAGGAGAACATAAACACAAGTGACACTTGATTGTGATCCGTTTATGCTCCAAGGGAAACAAACAGCAGATGAAGTACAGCACTGGCTCAGTGAAGTTCATATATGGATCAGGTGTGCGACCACCAGTTTGATGAGGTAGTGAACACAGGCGTTCAGCTGTCTCGCTACACTGTGTGTATCTAGAAAAAAACTGTCTGAGAAAAATGTTTATAGCCAAGAAATTGGTGATGAGGGTCAGTTACCTTAATTGGGCTGCTTAACCCTTGTATGGTGTTCGGGTCTGTGAGACCCGTTTTCAGTTTTTTTCAAAAGAAAAATTAAACAATTAATTATTTTTTCAACCTGAAATTCATTGGCTTTGGCTTATTTTCTGTGAAGAACATAAATCCGAACTAATTTTCAATGACCTCATACTGAATATTTCACATTTCTGAAAATTCAGAGTCTGACAGTGACTTTGAAGAAGACGATGAGGTTGAGCACCATTTAGTAACAAAACAAAGACGAGTACCCCATCTGCAGCCAGCTCCAGGACCAGAACAAGCCCACCAGACAGCAAGTGAAGAAATATGGATGTCAATAACTGGTGAAATTGAATGGTCTTCTTGCCCAAGAAATGAGCCACCCTGCAGAGCTGTTACTGTGATAAGCCAGGGCCAACACGGCTGACAGGACATCAAGTCTTCATTTGAGCTTTTCATCCCAGATTCCATCCAGAAAATTATTCTGGATTGCAGTAATCTAGAAGGAAGGTGTGTTTTTGGAGAGAGATGGAAGGAGATCTAAGAACCCCAAAGGCCTACTTTGGGGTCCTTATCCTTGCAGGAGTTTTCAGGTCCAAAGGGGAATCCACAGAATCCCTGTGGGATGCAGAAACCGGCACGAACCTTTCCGTGCATCAATGTCTCTGGAAAACTTCCACAAAATTTCCAGGATTATCCGTTTTGATAACCGAGATGACAGACCAGCTCGACGGCAGAGAGACAAGCTAGCTGCCATTAGGACAGTGTGGGATAAGTGTGTGCAACACCTCCCCCTGTTTTACAAACCTGGGCCTAATGTCACCATTGATGAGCAGCTGATCCCATTTAGTTGTGAAACATATTGCTTCACGTGTAAATGTGTTGTGTCTTTCCACTCACTCCACTTGATTATAACTGATATATTTTTTATAACATTAAAAAACAAAACAAAAAAAACCCGAGAAGCACATTGATTCATAAATGTGATCTAACAAAAGTTAAAGGGAAAAAATTAACCATGTTTGCTGTTCATATGGTTTGTAATTGGGATGAAGTAAACATCTGATGAGTAATTTAACAAAAAATTGTTTGATAGTGTTAATTTGGAAAGCCAAAACTCTGGCGGGTCCACCAGACCCATGAACACTGGCTGAGTAACAAAAATATGAACACCACACAAGGGTTAAATCTGATATTTTCGATACTGGCATCATGCCTTGTCAAGTGTTACCTGCCTTTGTGGAAAGATGTATGCAACATAAAATGTTAAAAAAAAACAAGGAAGTCTTTTGAGCCTCAGGCTGTGTCTGCTGAGGTGCCCTCTAGCTGAAGATTTTATTAACATTTCACGTTTTCATTTTAAGTCTTTTACCTTGCTGTAATGTACCATTGCGTAGCAGCTCAAAGATTAACACATATGTTGCTACCAGCTAAGAAAGCATCAACCTAACCCCATGTAGCTGTAACTATTCCAACAACATGATTAGTGCAGCGCAGCACTATTCTCATCATCATTGGCCCTTTGTGCTGTTTAAAAAAATGAAACTAAAAATGGAATCAGAATTGTAAACACTTAATTTTTATTTCAGTTTCAAACATTGAGTTAAAAACAACAACAACAACAACAACAAAAAACAATCTGCAGCTATTGTTGCATGTTGTCTGTAAAAGTTCTTAAATTCTGTTAAGGATTTTAAAGGCTAAGGCTTTTTTAAATTTAAAATGTCAGTGTGTGCAGTGAAGAGTATTTTAGCTAAAATATTATGCATGTCCTAATGAGACATTTATTCATGTTGAATATTACACTGTTTTTATTCTTCATCATAATTCACATTTCTTCAGTGCTGGTGTAGGTCTCCCTGACCAGATTTTGTCTAGTCTTCTCATAAGCTTTTGAGAGTCATTTAATACCATGTAAACTCGCCGGGAACTGTACAGGCTATAGGTCACACTGAAGGTGGGAAAACTTTTGAAATTGTTTACTGTGGTCTAACATCACAAAACCCTGGGTTAACATGGGTGTGCACACTTTTTACATCCACCGTATATATAGCCAATCTATATCTTGGGCTGTTTCTCCCATTCTTCTAAATTCTTTCTGGATACAAAGTACATAGGCAATTCAGAAAATGTCACTGCCAAGAGAACAGCAACATACTTGTAGTTATGATTGTTGCTGCAATAGTATTAGTACTACTACTCCTTTCAGCTGTTTCCTTTAGGGGTCGCCACAGCAGATCATCTGCCTCCATCTCATCCTACCCCTAGCATCTTCAATTATCCTTGACAGCCAATCACAAAATTATATGGCAACTAGGGCTGTTCGATATAACGATATATATCGGATGACGATATAAAAACATCTATCGTTTCATTTTACGCTATCGTTTGTTTCGTGGTGTCGCAAAATAAACTGTTTACGGCAATATTTTTTCACTGTTTTGATGGTCACTGTAGTGGCTATATTCATTTCTTAAGTTCTCTCTTTCTCTTATATTTAATATAGCCACACTACGGACGGACAAGCGCCTGTTTTTATGCGTTGTCGTTAGCAACAATGACGGTAAAACCATCGCGTGTCCGCTTGTTTATTTTCCACATAAACCTTTCACAATAAAGCTCAAGATCCTGTTGAGACTTTTCAAAATAAACTGAACGACGTGAAAGAGCATGCAGAGTATTTACGGATGAGAAGCAAAAAAGAGCTGGCAGGTGCTAAAAAAAACCAAAACCTTAGACTCAAACGTTTGAAAAGGCTTTTCCCCGCAGCACGCCGTGTAATAAATACTCACAAAGAAAACAGCGGCCGTTACAATTTATGTCTAAAAATGCATCGCCGCTTGGCATCTTTCTTGGCCTTAAGACAACAATTCTGATGGCTAAA